ACGACTTCCGGGTTTACGGTTTAGTAAACCGTAAGACAGTTCCGGGATTTGAAGTTTGCAAGTTTGCATGCTTTTTGCCTTTAGCCTGAAAGACACCTCTTGCACAAGCCTTCAAAGCTGAGGGTCTAGTTTCAGGGCTGTAGGGTTTCAGGGTAAAGGGTTCGGGACTTGTAGGTTAGGGTCCAGTGTAGCAGGGTTTTGAACCCTGCGTCCCAAGCCGGAGAGCTGTAAAAGCACATGTGCGGTCTGGTATCAAACGGTCGTACCCAGAGGGCCCAATACCCCTTAATTAAGGAATATACCTTCAATCACAAGGGGATTCATATTATGATTTAAGCTATATTCCTTAATTAAGGAGTATTGGGCTCTCTGGGTAGATCCGAGCGGCGCTCCGGTGGCCTCTGCGCCGGAGCTTTGCTCTTACGTCGCAGTGCGGAAACGCCACCGGCAGCGGATGTGAAGATGTTTTTCCCAGCCCTTCACCCGGAACCGGATTGAGGTGCTGCAAAGCTCTAGGGGGAAGGCCCTACGCCCACAAAGTCTACACCCTACATCTTCAAACATCGACCTGCATAAGCCCGCAAGTAAGCAAGTTTGCTATTTGTCATCAGAGACCTACTAAACCCTAAGTCTCGCACCATAAACGCAAAACTCAGACTCTAAATCCAAACCCACACCAAGACCGTGAACCAGAAATTGCACTCAGAAGCGAAAAACCACCGACAAGCTCAAACTCTGAACTCAAGCCGAACCAGCATCTCCAGTTTCTGAACCCGGCGGAACTCTAAGTGCCGCATTTGCAGGTGGTCCATCGTGCCTCGAAACTGTTGGCCGCGAAGAACGCCATGCCAAAGTTAACGGAAGCTCGGACTTCGTGGGTTGAACAGGCCAGAGACTCCAATACCCCTTTATTAAGGAATATGGCTTAAATTATAGAGGGCTTCATATTATGATTTAAGCCATATTCCTTAATTGAGGGGTATTGGGCTCTCTGGGCAGGCGTTGTTGCAGGCTTGGTTGCTGGTGTCGCAGGAGGTTTACAACAGTTGTCGTATGCCTATCTAGTGCGTTGCTGTTCCGTGATTTGAGCCGTATATACAAACCTTCTAATAGCCATATGAGGGTTTAGGACTTTGGGTGTAGGGTGTAGGCTTTAGGGTTCAGGGCCATTTAGGGCCATAACCCAGACATGTTTGTAGTGCACGTGTGCGCATAATGTTTAGGGTCTGCGGAATAGGCAGCGTTTCACAATGGGTAAACCGTAAACCGTCTCTTAGGGATGGCGTCTGGGGAGGCGTCCTGTTAGTATAGACAATATCAGTATAGGGGTAGATCTCTAAATTACGGTTTTTTGTAGGTTCCCAATATAGTACGGCATTCTTATGAAAGGGACTCGAAAAAGGGACCCTAGTTTAGGGAACTGCCCATAGGGGTCGGAAAAATTGCCAAAATAGCATTCCCTCATAGTCATAATCCCTATAGAACCACTTTTGTATACTACGTAAAAAGCCAACATTCAAACTATGAACGTCTCAAAACCATGCCCTCACAGTATTCCCCTACAGAACCCTTCGGAGGAACCCGGTTGTAGCTCTGAAGACCTCTACATTATCGGGTTGAGAGGTTGAAAAGCTTACGGGTAAACGGAGTTTAGGGAAACAAAATAGGGGACAGCAGTCTTCCCCACTGTAATAAGGTTAAGGGATCGAGGGGTTTTGGGTTACAGACTTGAAGGCTTCAGGCTTTCGGGCTTCAGGGTTTAGGGCTAGGGGCAAACAGGAGACCAGCAAGTACGAAAGGTGACAACGGCCGTTCTAATCCGAGCTTCTGACAGGAACAGCAACAGTTACGAGGGCAATTCGCCAAACCCAAAACCTTAAGCCTCGTATCTCAACGTCTGCCACCCTAAGTCCGAAATCGAAACCCACGCCCCAAGCCCTATCATCCTTAGACCCCAAACCCCAAACCTAGGACCCGAACCCCAAACCCTTGGCCCGTCTTGGCCCGAAAACCGTTATAGAACTTATGGAAAACAGCTACCTGCTTCCTCAGGAGGCTGTTGCAGCCATGGTGAAGGATCGCAGGGTTATGGTTTTTCGGTAACCTAAATCCCTGAACTCAACCTGCATCCTTGCACGCTACATCTGCAAAGCTTAAACCGCCCGCAAACCCAAACCCCTAAAGCTAAAATACCTAAACCCCAAACCTAAACCCCAGAAGCCCAACGCGTCGACCTCTCGTGGACGTGTCTGGTTCCTGCGTCCTTCTTTTGAAATCCCAAAGCTCCACCAAAACCTATTCCCCTCGCAACTCAGAACTCCTCCTTTTGTAGTTATACTGTACCATACCCCGAAATCCTATTCTAATTATTGGGGTCCCGAAACACAAACGATGTTTTGGCCGTTCTAGGATCGCAATCTGCACGACGAACCAGAACCAGAACCCTAAACCCTAAAACCCTAAACCCTAAACCCTAAAACCCTAAACCCTAAACCCTAAACCCTAAAACCCTAAAGCCCTAAAACCGTTCTTACCTGCGAGCCGGCGACGTCTCAACATGAAGCGTCGGCTTGCGGCACTGACCCACTGCCTAAGCCGGATCTGGGGTTTCGGGTTTCCCAGAGAGCCCAATACCCCTTAATTAAGGAATATACCTTAAATTATAAGGGGATTCATATTATGATTCAAGCTATATTCCTTATTTAAGGAGTATTGGGCTCTCTGGGTTAGGGTTTAAAGTCAAGGGTCTTAACAGAGACTTGCAAGAACCCTCCCTGTGGAGACGCAGCAACCTCTTTTGTCAAAGCTCTGAACTCAAAGCTCTAATTTCCAAGCCCCATAACTGCCCATGCAGCCCCGCATCCAGGTAAACGCATTCGGCAACCTCCAAATCAAATCCCTACTGTACCCATAACGCCTGAGGCCCTAAGTTTTCAATCGCACATTCCCAGCGAGCCCAATACTCCTTAAATAAGGAATATAGCTTAAATCATAATATGAATCCCCTTATAATTTAAGGTATATTCCTTAATTAAGGGGTATTGGGCTCTCTGGGTTCCCAAATTCCAGGAATTATGCCCTGAACTGTTGAGCCCCAAACCCTTGTCCTGGAGGAGCCCGACTCGCCGACCACCGGGCGCGTGCGGGAAGAGCGTTTCCGCAGCGTTCTGGAAGAGGCCAATGGCAACGTCTACAAGCAAAATGAACCTTACTGTATCCTTTACTCCAAATTTCAAACACCAGAAGAAGATGACAACCAAGCCTGAACCAGAGCCCTTGAACCCTAAACCCTAAACCCTAAACCCTAAATCCCTCAACGCCTGAAGCCCTTGAACCCTAGAATCAGAAGGAACCCTGGTAGGAGCCCCGGGACCCTAGAAGGGATCCTGGTCAATGGACTTTTAGGTTCCCTGGTAGACTTTTGCTGGGTTTAGGATTTAGGGTTTAGGGGTTCAGGGGTTTAGGGTTTAGGGTTTGAATTGGAAGCCGGATAGTTGGATCGTCAACATTTAAGTATAGGAATCCCAGCACAAATCATCCTAAATCCATGTTCCAACTCTACGGGATGCATCACAAGCTAAACCTTTATTGTTAGTATATCATTAACCCATACTGCTGGGGTATTATCTTTATTGTTAGCATGACGCTTGTTGTTGCTATTAGTATCACGTAGACTCCTTAAGAGAACCCTTCTGAAGGTGGCAAGCCAAGAGTTGTCCCCAGAGGAGCTACAGGTGGTCTTCCCCGACGCCGGGCTTAAGTAAGATGTGCCGCAGGGGTGGAGGGGGCTTAGAGGGTTACGCAGGTTTCAGGGTTTGTTGAATCGGGGATTTGAGATGATGTGGGGCTATTGGAGTCTAGAGTTGTGGATACGATTTGAGATGTGGCTCTTGTTGTTATGAGTGCAGGGTGTTGGGTGTCGGGTAACACCCCACTTCCCGTGACAACAAACATAGGCGACAAAGTCGGGAGGGGAGAGGACTCCTACGGAGCCTTCCAGATGCAAAGGGGAGGGGGAGCTTATGATGTGCATAGCTGATTATGTATAACGTGCATCTGCAGCTTCTCCGGAAATGTCGAACCCTACCATAGATACAAGGAGCTTGTTTGGGAGAACTCAGTAACCAGAGTCGAATATGTGCTGCACCCAGAAGTTGCCACGTCCCAGGAGAAGCACATCATCACCTGAATCTGCGCAAAATGTTCCAGATTCCAGACGCATGAGAAAGTGGCAAAGGCAGAAGAGTAGCCCGACAGCTTACAATGCTCTGCTGCGTGGCGAAAAAGCTCGCTTCTCACACCTGCAACTCAAAGCACCCTAAGCCTTCCCAAAACCCCAGACCCTAAACTCCAAAACCTTTCCAACACTCAAGCACAAGACCCTCGTCACAACCCTGAACCCCCAAGTCGTAGGATCCGAAATCCTGAGAGCTCGTTGGCCTGGATCCCACACTCCGACCTACTCCCTTCACAAGCGTCTTTAGCGGTCTAAGGGAGGGCGTTCATGATTGCAATAGGGCTTTGGAGGTGGGGTGCGCCGGGGTAATTGTATTCGCTGATTTTTCTCGTTTTTGTGATGATGTCTCAATAACGTTGTTGGTGCATTTCGCCGACCGAGCTTACAACGGCAAACTGAAGACGAATCATTAGTCGAACCCTTGGCTTGAAGTCTAAACTTCTGGCATCTTGTATCCTATATGTATGCATGTATGTCCGTATACATGCAAGCATGTATGTATGTAGGGACGTACGCACGTACGCACGTACATATGTACGTACGTCGGTAGGGAGGTAGGTATGTGTGTATGTCTGTCGTACGTATGTGTGTGTATGTATGCATGTCAAACGAGTTTAAACTTATCACTTGGGTACGGCTCCCACTCAGTAATAGTTGAATAATATTCCTTATATAGATATATTAGGACCTTAATAGTAGCCCTATTATAGACTCTTACTGCATGGGGGCTGTACCTAACTTATCACCCTGGAGCCCCACGCAGGTCAGCGCGAGCAGGGGCCTCGGCACATGCTCGCCGTTCCTTGCGCTTTTCACTTGCAGAGGCCCAGAGAAAAAGGCCAAACACAACTCGTGGCTCAAATTACTTACTACCATAGCCACTAGCCCATCACTACTTCGTAGGGTTTGGAGCTTCAGGTTAAAACACAACATGGGCGAAAGTAGGATCTCATTCTGTCGGGTTTAACACCTGCATCTGAATATTTTGTAGCACTCTATTCTTCAGGGCTCATGAAAACATCCAAAGTTCAACATGCCAGGGGTATCATTCCTTCCGATCATACTAGTAACGTACCCCCCAAAGCCTGTATTCCTGCTATTCGTGCTTCATTCGAGCCCTTCTGAGCCGTAGTGCATGCCCCGTAAACCCCAAGGGCTTTGAGGAGTTTGTTTCCTTTTTTTTACATGCATGTGGGCTTTAGGTGTGTTTTAGGCTCGTAGTACTCCTGTTTTGAGGGGATGGTAGGGCTTAGGGTGTCGGGCTTATTTTCAGCATTTAGGGTGTGGGCTCGCGTGTTTAAGGGTTTTCGAGAATTTAGGCTTGAGGCTTTTCGTACGGGACATCCTCTTCATTTCAAGCATTCCTGCAACAAGTGCTTGAGGAGAGCTTTGGGGTGGCTGTGAGGACCCCGCAGTTTAGGGCTTAGAATCCATATCGTGCGCACCCTAAGACTCAAAATCCTTGCATCCCGAGGCCTCAAGACCAGAAGTGCCAAGCCCTCGAGCCTGAAACCGCTCTGCCGCTCTGTGGACGCCATATAAGCGCCTTCCAAAATCTCTCTTATAAACAGCTTCTACTTGCCTCTCAAACACTAAAACGATCCCTAAACCCTAAAGCCCCTCCTTGCTTTTATGCCGTAGTTCGTCGGCCGGCTTAGGAAGCGAGCTTCGTGTCACAGAAGCTCGTTCAGTCGTCCGGAGCCCTGGTAATGACATTCGTAATAACAACGGTAACAACAGTAGTAATCATAGTGATAACAAAGTTGTAGAGAAAGCAGCAAAGAGTAGCAAGAATAGAATTAAATGTAGCAACCATAGTAATAATAGTAATAATAACAGTATTAGTAGAGTCGTCTGGACCCCTGGTTTGCGCGAGGATCTTTCGGAGTGCGATTTAAAGGGGTCCTTTTTAAAGGGGTCCTTGTTGAAGGATCTCTTTTGAATTAAAGTTAAATTAAAGAGTTCCTTTTTAAATTGGTCTTTTTGTTAAGAGTTCCTTTTTCAAGGGTTCTGTTTTAAATTGTTCCTTCCAGGGCTCCTTTTCAATTTCTTCCTCTTAGGGGTTTACTTTTTGAAGGAGGGTCGTGGGGGGGTGGGGGGGGAAGGGGCCGGAGGGGCCCTGGTGGTTCTAGGGTTTACGAGGTTAGTGGACTAGGGTTTAGGAGAATTTAAAGGGAACTCCAGAAAGTTGGAATATGGATTAATGGTAGGATCCCCTATAATATACCTTAAAGGGGTTAGGATAATGATATTCCAACTTTCTGGCTTCTACTGTAAGGGGAACTAAGAATTAGGACCGGGTTTGGGGACCTTCGGGGGCTAGAGCTTTAAAATCGGGAGCTTGAAGGAGGATCTGGACAAAGTCGCGGACTCTAAATTAACAGTAAGGGTCTGGGGTGTCGAGCAGCTTAGGGTGTGGGGGTTTAGGCTTAGGGTGTAGGGATAGCAGGATACTCATTCTGAGGGCCCTTCAAACCCTGATAAGATACCCTTGCCCTGATCCCTGATTCGTGATGCTATCCCCATACAGTGACTTTTCAGCTACAGGATGAGATGCCCCCTAACCCCGGGTTCGGTTTCAGGATTCATAGGAGCCCAGGAATTGAACTTTTGAGTGAAATGAACCCTGCTCATTTAGCTGTTTTAGAGCGTTTTATAGAGTCTCTATAGAGTTGTCTAATAATTGAACAACTCTGCAGAGACTCCATAATTCCATCCCAATGCATAACCCTAAACCCTAAAACCCTCACCCTAAAACCCTAAACCCCAAAACCCTAAACCCTCAACCCTAAACCCTGAGCCTTAAACCCTTAATGCCGTGGAGCTGAAGCCCAGTCCAAACCCCCCCCAGCCCTGGGTCCGAACTCTTTAAACATTGCCCAGAGAGCCCAATATTCCTTAATTAAGGAATATGGCTTAAAGTATATAGGGCTTCATATTATGACTTAAGCTATATTCCTTAATTAAGGAATATAGTTTAAATCATAATATGAATCCCCTTATAATTTAAGGTATATTCCTTAATTAAGGGGTATTGGGCGCTCTGGGTGAATGCAAGCCTCAAGCCTCCAAGGCCGCAAGCCGACCCTGAGATCGAGGTTTGAAGAATACCGAAAAATTTACAAATGAAAAACTATATCTATCTATATGTGTGTATATATATAAGTATGTAAACTCCTTATACGAATTGTCAGTGCCGCGCCATGTTTATGTCTAGCCCCGATCCTGAGCCCTCGGTTTGGCCCGCAAAACGCAGAAATTTGCCAACTTCAGGTCACCACAGGCCCATGCTGGTTGGGCGGGGGGTGGGGGGGGGTTTAGGGTTTAGGGTTTGGGGTTTAAGGTTTAGGGTTCGGAGTTCGGCGTTTCCGACTACAAGGTCTGTGAGGGCCAGGGTTTTGGGCTGTTCACTCTTCTTGCACCCAGACCCCCGGGAGGATCCAAAAAGTAGATCCCTTAATGAGAGTTCCTGTAAAGCACCCTTATAGTAGTATAGGGCCCCAAATTAGGGGATCTACTTTCTAGATCCTCCCGGGGGTCTGGGCAATGATGCAAAGGCGCAGGCTAATGCGTGTTCATGTGCCAGCTTCCATTGCTTTCAGTTTGGCGAATCATGAAGCTCGTGGATTGCCGTCGATAGATTGTTTGTTTGTGTTTGCCTACTTGGCGTTGTGTGGTTGCGAATGCGCTTAGTTTTAACGATCCGGCTCGCCCCACTCTGCACTCTCGACCCCTTTTTGGTGAGCTCTGCCTCCCAAACACGTTTCTAGGTTTTTTCTGTGACGGTCGGTGCGGGTTGGCGGCGAGAGTGATGGGTCGTTCAGCGGTCTACCAATGACAAGCCAGGGGGCCTGGAGCGCTTCAGCTTAGGGTTTAGGGCTTTAGGGGTTTAGGGTTTAGGGTTTAGGGGTTTAGGGGTTTAGGGGTTTAGGGTTTAGGGTTTAGGCTTTAGGGCTTTAGGGGTTTAGGGTTTAGTGTGATGAGGCCATGAAGCTTAGGTCCTGACCGTCGAAACCATCCCTCGAACCCCCAATACTGAACAGCAGCCTTAACCTCTAAGCCCGGTGCCAAATAGGGGCCTTACTAATTACCAATACGAATTTGGGGTTCTTCATTATAATCATAGTTAATGGGCCCCAACACCCTGTTGTAATTATTAAGGCCCCTATATTAGATGGCAAAGCAGCACAGAGAATCTGAATCGGCGAATGTTTGTCTTTGACAGGTAACGGGCTGAAGCAAGACTTGGTCTATTGGCTGCACAGTTGCCTACAACATACTTGCCCCAAAGCTGCTTCCAGGGTTTAGGATGTTAGGGGTTAATGGTTTTAGAGTTTCAGGATTTAGGGTTTTTGGGGTTTAAGGTTTCAGGGTTTAAGCTGAGCCACTACTACTACCCTAATCCTCATGCCCCCAAAACGGTACCTCGGAGGTTGCGGTTAAGGGGACTTTCGAACACAGAGGCCAACCAAACCAAAGCGTTCCATAGCTATAGATCGCTGCAACCATTCTCGACATTGCTCGACGCTGATGCTGCGGGGAAGATGACATAGTGGACACTTTTCTGAGTGTTCTGGAACAAAAGTAAAGAAAACGAAAAGGCCTTGCAGCTCAAGATTCTGGGCTCCCCAACATCCCTGGAAGCAATGGGCTGCAAACATACTTGTTCATGCAGCCCTTGGTCCACATTCCTCACCGCAAGCTCATGATCTGCAGGGCCTAAACCCTAAACCCTAAACCCTAAACTTAAACCCTAATCCCTTGACAAAGCCAGCTTGATTTACCTTCAATCGGCAAGCTCTCGCGAGGCCCTGGAGGATACTGTGGTGGAAGACCACAGCATCAGCCCCATAGGCATCCGATGGTTCAGAGACCAAGGGTTCAGATGTGGAGAGTTGCATGCCACCGAGACTGTCAGGCAAATTTGGACTAAATTGAAGTTCTAGCTGGCCAATTCAATAAGGGTCGTCACGACCCCCGCATGTTCAAGAATCAGGGTCCCAGCTTGAGGATTGGGGAAGAAGTACTCATGAGCCCGTCTTCGCGGCCTTTGTGAGTAGAACCTGCATGGCCCGTACCAGCAGCCCTGGCAGTGAGAAATTTCCTGCATGCCTCATTTTGGGGACCCAAGAAGGCACATAAGTATAAGCATTTTATGGGGATATCCCTACCTTATTGGGCTTTAGGCCCTAAACCCTACACCCTAAACCCTAAACCGTGGGCTTTAGGCCCGAGAGCAAATTTCTCGTGTGAAGTTTTGAGATCTTGGGCTCAATCGGCTCGGGGGTTTAACGTTGCACTCTGTGGCGGAGTACAGGGGCCTGAGGGTTCCGTTAAAGGCATCCTTAAAGGCTAGGATGCCCAGTAGTACCCTTATTCCCTTTTTGTAGTCCTAGGTTCCTTATAAAGTTACCCAATACCAAAAAGAGACGCCTTTTTATTCTTAGGTTACTGGGTATCCTAGCATCCTTAAAGGGGTCTCTAAGGGATACTTTTGGGGTACCATAACATAGGGGCCTAGACAGTTCCCTACACTATTCTGGGGGTTCCTTGTTATGGATATAGTATCAATGGGCCCCCAAACCCTATCCTAATTATTGAAGCCCCTGTAGTAAACCCTCAACCCTGAGAGCAATGTGAAACCTCGCAGGCCTTTAGATCCTCAAATATGCTGGGAAACCCAAAGTGCCTAAATCCCGAAACACCCGAACCCAGAGACTCCAATACCCCTTAATCAGGGAATATACCTTAAACTATAGTAGGATCCCGAATACGATTTGAGGAATATTCCTTAGCTAAGGGATATTGGAGTTTCTGGGAACCTCAGAGCCAGAAGACTCAAGCCCCGAACCATTCGAGCCCTGAGCCCCGAAACCCTAGATCTCGCAGCTTCATCTCGGCCTTTGCATGCGTCTGGCTTAGGCCAGAGACTCCAATATCACTTGATTAATAAGGAATATTCCTTAAATCATGTTAAGGATCCTACTGTAATTTGAGGTATTTCCTTAATTAAGGGGTTTGGGAGTCTCTGCGCCAGGCAACACGCAAACCAGTCCTGAGGCTCGGGCTGAGGTGTTCTTATCATTCAGTGTGACTTACGGTTCCTTTTGTTCTTCTAAACCCTAAATCTTGTTTCCAGGGTTTCAGAGCTTTGGATCCTAGAGCCTGGTACAGGTGTTCACCATGTCTTGGATATGGGTGTTGCGGACTTTACAGGTTTTTTTTACGCGTCTTTGCGGAGGTTATGTGCGGGTGTTAGGATTTCATGGTTTGTCGTCTAGGTTCTGTAATTAACGGCAGACTCATTTGCTTATCCATGAAATCGGTGGAATTGGGGGTGTAACTCTTGGGACTCGACGGCTGTTCCTTCAGACGAGAATGGCGCCGTGCTGCAGGCGTTTTGCTCAGTGCTTCTTGGCATTGCTCAAAGGGTCAGGGCACGTCAAAAGTAGGTCAACATCGGAGGTATAAGAACCCTTCGGGCTTTACAGAAAGATAGATCGGTAGGTTGATTGTTTGCACTGGAGCCTGAAAGCGGAGGGTTTACGTAGATTCGCTTTTTTCGTAGTTCAGCCATGGGTCTAAACCCTAATCCCTATAACCCTCATCCCTATCCCCCAAACCCCCTCTAAACGCCCATCCTCAGCGCTGCTCTGCCCTGCTCTGGCTATGCAGATCTTCGTGGAAACTCCGGCAGGAAAAAGGCAGCTGGGTTCGAAAGCGGTGCTCAACCGAGTAGATCTGTGAAAAGCAACCTAACCTTCGATTTTTGCTTCTAGGGTCGACAGTTTAGGGTGTAGGGGTCAGTTTCGGGTTAAGGTTGGAACTGGTTCAGGGCCAAGGGATTTTGTAAGCTTGAGGGCCGTTGAGGGTGTAGGCTCGCAGGGCTGACAGCATCAAAAAAATCGGGGGATGGTTTATAAGCTTTAGGGTTTGGGTTTAGTTTTGGGTCAGGTCATGCACTTTCGGGTTCAGGCTCATCCCCTTGCAATCCGTGCAGAAAGATAATCAAGAGTTTGATGCAAAACCCTGGAGGAACGGTTGATGATATAAATCCTGCATGACCCATTATAAGGAATATACCATAGTTCCCATAGTTTAGGGGTCTTAAGGTAATGCAGGGCTTATATCATCAACCGAAGTATGCCCCGTGATAGTTCGAAATCTCCGTTTTTCGAGCACAGAAGTTGACAAAGCCCACAATCTTAACACCTAAACCCCTACAGTAAACCCCATAAAGTTGGATACCAGATTAAGGCCAAATAGTGCTCCAATTCCCTGTACATTACTCTTAAGGATTGAGGCTACGGGGTTTCCAACTTTTGGGCTTCTACTGTAATCCCTACCCTAAACCCTAAACCCTTATGGCACCTTATAGATCCCTTAAAGGAGTCCTTATAGATCCCTTAAAGGAGCCATTATAGATCCCTTAAAGGGGTCCTTAAATCCACGAACGCTACAACCCTACAGGCCCGAACTGGGAAACCCTAGCCGAAGACGGGAGAGATCTGCGACACACAAATGGGAGTTTCCGAAAATCGGGGGTACCTTATTTTAGGGTCCTTATAATAAGGATCCTACTCTTTGGCGTACTATATTAGGGTCCGCTATTTTCGGAAACTCCCAAACCCTTTTGGTTTCTTGGGTAATGTAGGAACCTGACTAGGAAGCCTAAGGCCTGTAACCCCAAAACAGTTTGACTCGTTTAAGGACCCTAGCAAAGGCCCAGGGTTTCTGAATCAGGTTCCTCCATGAAGGTACCCTAAACCCTATAGTATCCTAAATTGTAGGAACTTTATAATAAGGACCCCAAATTTTGTTAATCAGGTTCGTAAATTAAGGGTTCAGTTGGGGGAGATAAGGGCTCATCTCTTAGCCTTTTCGGGTGCACAGGCCTTGCAACATGATGCTGTTGGTCAATGTTGAGCCGTAGAGTTAGCTTAAACCCCTAAATCCTAAACCCTGAGGGCTGTAAGGTTCAGAGGGATCTGCAGTTAGAGTTGTAAGCTGGCGGGTATCGGGCTTGGCAGTACCGGATGTGGCGTGTAGGAGCAACTGCTCGCACTAATCTCGCCCTACATGCAAAGTCCTGCAAATGTGGAACGTCGGGCACGTGCGGCAAGTACTATTCTGATGGCACTGCGACAATATGTTGATTATGATTGTAGGATACGTAGAAATGGTAATGCTAAACACGAGAAGAGCACTACATACTGTTGATGGACAAAATCCTGCATGACCCTAAGGACTCTAAACTATGGAAACTATGGTATATTCCTTATAATGGTAATGCAGGATTTTGTCCATCAGCAGTATGACCATAGTGATGATGATAATCACAGACACAAGTGCACGGACATCCGGAGCTCCCACAGATGCATGCCCCAGAGGATCACCCTGGATGTCGAGCCAGACACTACCATTCTTGACATCAAGGCTGTTGTCCGCAAGAGGGGGCTCACGGGTCCGTTGAAGGGTTGCTGTACGTGTGTTGTGAAGGTCCGGTCGAAGGGACCACAAAGAATCAGTAGTTAGGGACTTCGTGTGGTTTGAAGTAGTGTTTATGTTGGAGTTCTGGTGGGTGTTTACAGGGCTCCTGGTGCTTGCCGATTTCGGGGGTCTGTGGTCAGATACGTCCTTCCCAAACGGTCCAGAATGCCAAGGTAGTACTATACCAGTGGTACTTATGACATGCGAGGTTTTGGGGGCTGAGGGCCTTTCGGAATTAGGGCTTGGGTTGTTGGGCCGTGGGCCTTGGGTGGGGTTGAAAGGCTTGAGAGGCTTGAGGTTTAGGCTTTTCGAGGATTAAGGATCAGGAGGTTTGGGGCTTAGGGATTTTTCACAGCGTATCTTGAAATCGTAACTAAACCCGAATTTGGAATACCAAAATTCGTCTAGCTCTTGTTTTGTTAGCAATCCTCCGTCTGCAGCATCTTACCCCTGAGCCAAGAGTCTTAAATCCTGCCTTTGAGCCCTAATCCCTGAAACCCTACCCCAAATCCCAAACACTACCCCTACGTGCTCAATCCTAAACCGTAGCCCTAAGCCCTGAAGGTCAAGATTGAGCCCTCAGTCGGCCTTCCGGCGGATCAGCAGAAGCTGAGACTTTGCGACATCTTGTTCGACCCACCAGAGAATTGAAGCGAAGTTCCTTTCCAGGGCTTCTTCTTTGAGGCTTTGCTCTCGGCAGTGGGTGTTATCGGGTCAAGGACATGAGGGTTGAGGGTTTGTGGATTTTGATGGTTCAGCAGTTTAGGCCGTAAGTCATTCGCTTTTTGGGGCTTTAGGGCTTTACTTTCCGACGGACGGGAGACTGTGACAACTCGAGTACATCCCGTATACATAGGCGGTCCCTAGTGCAGATCCACATTGTGATTTCGAGCACCTTGCTTTCTGAAGGGATGTTGCGGTCTGCGGGTAGGGTGCAAATTCTCTCGCATTTACTCTGCCCTGAACCTAAGCACTGAACTGTCGAAGAACAACGCGAGCCAGCTGAAGGGCAGCCCCAAGAAGGAGTGCATCAAGAAGATGCGGCGGCAAGCTCGGGAAGCCTGAACCCCACAACCTAAAGCCCCAAGTGCTTGACCCTAAGCCCCAGAGGCCAAAAAAATTTTCAAGGAATACCCTAAACCCTAAACCCTAAACCCTAAACCCTAAATCCGAACAGTGTAAGCCCGCCCTCAATCCGAAGTCGTGGCCCGAAAGGCTCTCCAAGGTCTATGTTGGCCTAAGGGCTCTCTACAAGGGGCTTGAGGGTTCCTTCCATTCTATCCGGGGTCATAATATATACTATTATTGCAGCAGGCCCCCAACACCACTCTTTCGGGGCAGAGTTCCGCAGTAGGACAGTATATGAACCCTCCTGGTGTGTCTTCCAGCTGAGGATGTTCACTGTCATCCAGCTCGAGGATTCCAGGACGGCGTCTTGGATGTAATGTATACAGAGTATAGAGACCTGAATAGAACTTAAGGGCTTAGGGTTCCCCATTGTAACCGTATTACAACAAGCACCCCCGAAGGCTATTCTGAATATTGGAGGCCTGTGATTTAAATACAGGGGTGTGGCGAGTTCGCCATAATAAATAGTATTCTTTCAGAGACTTTAGGACCCTGTTTGGTTCCTCGTATAAAGAAAAACTGTAATCCAGCGCGAAGTCTAATCACTCAGGCCCTTGTAGTCCCTATATACTTATGCCATGCCATGGCATACGGCCCTCTCCCCAAAAAATCAGTCTAACGGTTAAGGCCCTTAAAACCCGTGCAAATCCTATAGAATCCCAAAAGGAACCCTGGTCTAATTATATCAAGGGCCCCTCTAATCCAACGGTCGCTTTTTTTCTGAGATCCTTTACCTGAACCGGTCCTAGGGTTAAAGGTTTACAGAAAACCCCATAAAGTTGGAAACCGGGCTAAGGCCAAATAGTGCTGGGATTCCCAATACATTACTCTTAAAGACTGAGGCTATTGGGTTTCCAACTTTTGGGCTTCTACTGTAGAGATACCCTGAACCTAATGTTCAGTATGGTTTATGGGAATTAGAATTCGAGTTTACGGGTTTGGGGTTGGAGTTGGGGCTGGAATTCTCAGTGTTTAGGGTCCTGTATTTAATAAGGTTAGGATGTAGTCTTTCGGGTTCCTTAATCCCCGCAAGTCCGGCTTAGGGTCCCTCAGACCTAATACTCGTGCTCAAAGGGGAAAAGGAGGGACCCTTAATGGGGACCCCTACTCTATCATGGGCCATATAATGGAGACATAATAGCTATATTCAGGGTATATACCTATGTAGGGGTCCTTATTAAGGGTCCCTCCTTTTACCCTTGGATGTGCCGTTACCCTAGACCTTAAACGTACGGACGGAACAAGGCGCTCAAGATGAAACCCCGTAAACCCTAATCCCTCAACCGCCTAAACCCTAAACCTTGCAATTCTTCCCTAAACCCTGAACCCTAAACTGTAAATCCCCCTAAAACCCCCAAACCTTTTCAGGTGGCCGATTACAAGCTTCCCGATGGCTGCACTCTGACGTGGCCGAAAATTCGTGGTCCCCTGCCAGAGGTTTAGGGTTCAGGGGTTTAGGGTTTAGCGGTTTAAGGTTTAGGATTTACGGCTTAGGGTTCAGGGTTTAGGGTTAAGGATCCTTAAGGGTTTAATAAGGGTTCGAGGGTCAAGGGTCCCTAAACCCTAAACCCCGGTTCAACGTTAATGACATTTTAACGTATGTGGGTCGGGGTCTACGGTTTGGGGCTTCGGTTTTCAGCTTCAGGGTTTAGGTTCCCAGGTTCAGGTCTCCGTTCTGATGTCCAGCTTCAAGCCAGAGAGCCCAATACCCCTTAATTAAGGAATATAGCCAAAATCATCATATGGAGCCCTATATAGTTTAAGCCATATTCCTTAATTAAGGGGTATTGGGCTCTCTGGGAACGAGGAGCCTTGTTATCATCGTTTTCCGGGGTTTGCGTCTTTAGGGCTTTGGGGATATCCGTGGTGTACGTAGTTCCATGCTAGCTTCCCACGTACTGCGAAGACTATCTTCTTACGAGCAGCCTGGTGGCTACCACAGCCGCTGCAAAATGAAAGCATTCCTAGGCCTAAATGCCATATATGCAAGGTCTGTTGGGCAAACCCTGAGGCTAGCATTAAGTGGTTTCGCAGCCGCGCGCGTCCATTGCTATGCTGAGAACTTGTTGCTCTTTGCTGGCAGCAGCTTTTTCTGCTGGCGCGCCGCTGGATCATCTGGTGACGGATTTGCCTGGCCTCCTGGAGCCATTGCCAAGCAAGGCCTATGCGGGTCTCGTGCATGTGCCTGCACGAAGCTACAACTGCAGTTGGGGTGGGGGCGAAGGAGTCTCACCGGCAGTGGATACTTTCTACTGGTATTCAGAGTCAGAAAAAGCTCCCGAAGAGGATCCCCTGATTCTTTGGCTGCAGGGTGGTCCTGGGGGCTCATCTTTGTTCGGTGGCTTCGTCGAGATGGGACCACTGAAACTGGATGACAGGTCTTATTACTCATGGAAGTACAATGTCACTGGTATACCGTCACCGATCCGAAACGAATTCAGTTGGACTGCCTTTGCTGGCCTCATCCTCCTGGAGTATGCAGACACTGGCTTCTCCTCCTGTCATTCGAACGACACGGAGAAGGGTCGTTGCAAATGGAACATTGCTTCAGCAGCAGAGTCAATCGTCGGATTCCTTTCTGCGTTCTTGAACTTGTTTCCCGAGCTACACGATCGACCTCTTTGGTTGGCGGGTGAGAGCTTTGCAGGAAATCTTGTCGCGGCCGTGGCGGCGGCCTTGCACGCCTTGGGAGCCTCGAGCCAGGTCCAGCTTGCAGGTGTGCTGCATGGAAATGCTGCGGTAGGGGACTACCAAGGTGTAGTCACTCCCTTTGACCATCTAAAGGGTGGGCCACCCCTCACCACTGGAGATATGGGCCCCTTCGATGTCCAAGGCCACGTGGGTGGTTGTCAAAAGTAGGGTCCCTTTTTGGGTACCTATTATCATACGGCACCTATTATTTAGGGTACCCAGCAAGGGACCCTAATTTTGATGTCCAACCCCTAGGTATATACCCATAATATAGCCATTATATACCCATTATATAGCCCATTATAGGGTAGGGGTCCCCCCTCTTTTCCCCAAGGCCACGTGGATTTTTGGTGGCGGACAGGGCTGACTTCCTCAAGGCTCTACCAAAACGTGCAGAAGGGCTGCCCTTCCCTTGGCCGGGTAGAGCCCGATGGAAGATGCATGAAACTTAGGGGCACTTAGAAATAGTTTTTAATTTTGTCACATTTTTGGGTATTCTAATCCCTAAGAAACAGCTAAAATTACATTTTTTGCTAGGGCTCTAAGTTCTAAGTTCAGTATAGGAAACTGCTGCAGCACATGAAGTCACGCATTGGCAACTTTGAGGAACTGGGTGCAGGTGCGGCATGGTGGAACGTCTACAACATCTACGATACTTGCAGCGACATGCCACATCTGCAAAGGCATGGGCCCTCCGAAGCAGGAAAGTCGAAGCTTTCAAGTCTCGAGCACAGTGCCACTTGGGTATGTGGTGGCATCCGTGCTCTGGAGGATTACTTCAACCGCGCAGATGTGCAAGATGCCATCCATGTGAAACGCACCACCAACTGGACGGTGAACGATGACGGCATCCGGTGGCATCATCCAGCCGCAGGAATCTCCTTTCTGAGCGAAATCAGGCAGCTTGCCATGAAGTATCCGTTCCTTGCATATAGTGGTGATGTTGATGCCCAGATACCCCACACTGCAACCGAAATGTGGACAAGCTCCCTGGACTTTGCGGAACTGGAGCCATATCAGAAATGGACGCTGCATAAGTACGTCCAGGGCTATGTGACAAGATACGAGCACAACTTCACTTTCGCGACTGTGAAAGGTGGGGATGTTTGAAACCATGGGACCCTCCTGAAGACACAGGGGTTACGGGAGACTCTAAGGAACGTTGTGAGGTAAATCATCATGACGGTGGGAGTAAAGATAACTTAGAAGAGTCTTAAGAACAGCAGGTTCATCCTCCAGATTACATAATAGCATCGATAAACGTAGACCTGAGTGGTTTTGCTTTTCTTTGATGTAATTATGGTACCCTATTATAGTAACCCTATTCTAATGAGTAAGGCCCCTATGGTAGACCCAGGTGCCGGTCACATGGTCCCGCTGCACCGCCCGGCCGCCGCACAGGCGATGATCTCTCGCTTCATCGCCGAGCGGTCCCTTCTGGCCCAAGAGAGGCGAATTGAGAAGCAACCTTGGGCTACAACAAAATGGGTTCTTGTCAAGGGGTTCAATTTAAGCTGCCATAATACAGAAACCCTCTTATATATTATGGATCCCTATTATGGTAACTTAAGACCACAATAAGGAAGTCATATTATATTTATCATAGATCCCTATTCTGGTAACTTAAAGTAGAGGCCTTGGCAAAAATCCAGAAAAGCTCGTGTGAGACTTTCCTGGGCTTCGGAGGTCGATTAGACTTGGTCCTAAGATGACTGCTACGGTTGATGATATAAATCCTAGGGTTCCTTTAAAGGGATCTTTAAGGGTACCTTTAAGGGGCTCCTTTAAGGGATCTATAGGGGGTTTAGGGTTTAGGGTTGATGATATACATCCTGCATTACCTTACGGACCCTAAACTATGGGAATTATGGTCTATTCCTTATTACGGGTAATGCAGGGCTTATATCATCAACCGTATTCCTCAACGCTCCATGCCCAAAAGCCTTGATCCTAAGACAAGCGTTGCAGAACTCTTGTAGACATGATAACCCCAGGAAGCAATACACCCAGACCATTGTAACAGCTCCCTCCTCAACCCCTCCCTCCTCATCCCCAAAGCCTATAAAGCCCCCACACCAAAACAACAAAAACCCATCGAACATGAAAGCTAGAGAGGCCTCCTCCACTCCTCGGCGGTTGGGGCCTCAGTGGAAACGCAGTCCCGGTTCAGAGGCTACGTCTGAGGATTTGTGTGTTTTTTGTGTTTTACGGGCTCTACCGGTTCTGTAAGGGTCTTGAAAACCTTGAGGTATCGGGGTTTGAGTAGTCAATGCATTATCCATTTAGTTACAATGGTATCATCACACACCCGCAAACCATGGTTCTCGTTTGCGTTCTGAGACGTTTTGAGTGCGCTGTATGAGGAACCTATAGGGTTCTGCAGTGCTTCTACGAGAACTAGCAGTAAGGCTTGAGGGTATGGCCATATGGGGTTTAAGGCTTTGTTGTCTATTTTATACAGGGTTGAATCTTCTGTTGAAGGAGCACCCTGAAACCACCACTCCGAACACTGAGTCTCCTCCACCCCGGAACCGTCCCACTATGAACTAGGGCCGTTGAAGTACTACTCCGCTTCGATGTACGCTGTGCAGACCCACGGGGTTACAGTCATGGCCTCGTTTTATTCCCGCCAGTCTAGTCCCAAACAAGGAGCCATGTCCTCTTGCTTCATCATGTATGCTTTGGCAGAAGGTCAGCTGAAGACGAGGGTGCTTCCTGTAGGTTTTGTGGGTCAGCACTTGACCAGGACCTGCATTTCCAAGTGTGGGGTTTTCGAGATATGTCCTAATGAACGAAAGAAGGCTGTCTGGGCTGGGTTTACTGTTTTACAGTTTGGGGCTTAGGGTTTAGGGTTTAGGGTTTAGGGTTTAGGGTTTAGGGTTTAGGGGGTTGAAGGGCTTGGGTTTTGGGCTCACCTAGAGGGTCATACCCTACCCCTCTGTTCGGGGGTACCTAAGTTTATGGCTGGTATCCGTTATACAGCAAACTAGCTGCCTTAGACAAACTAGGTAGGCCTTTGGGACATTTTAGATTGTCCCTTATTGGGCTTCATAGGACCCTATTTACGAATATTTTTCAGAGGCTTTAAGGGGCCAACCTAGCAAAAGGTAGGGTATGACCCCCGAGACAGGGAAGAGACAAGGCGAGCCATGCCAGCGACGCATGTCTACATTCGCCCGCGCCGGTCTCAGTTCTTTCGGATGTTCTGCTGCTATGGGGAACCCATGTGTCACTACGGCTCCAGCCTCTTTGAGAGTTCTATACGGGTTCTTCATGGCTTTGGGGGTTTAGGGTTTAGGGCTTGCAGCTTCTGGGTTAATGGAGACCTTCCTTAAGAAAGGGGTCTTGAAGTCTCTCGCCACCCTACGCCACAAACACGCTAAACCGAACCCTTGTACACGCGAAAGGTCGATACCCTACATGCCTCACCCACCTGCAAAGACCGCAAAAGCCTTAAACTTAAGTTTGAACCCAACGACACCCTCGACCGTCGCCCTTAACGTTTATGTACCTAATAGGCCCAATCTGGAGGAATCACAAGCTCTCCCAAACACACCATTACAAACCTGCCCAAATAAGTCTCTCCTTTCTAGGTGGTTCGGACCCGAGGCTCCGAAACCCTGAACCCTAAACCCTAGAATGCTCATTGGGAGGGTTGGGTCTAACATGTGTAAAAAAAAAGCAACCTTCTAGGGAACATGTGAGAGACTTCGGAAGGCCCGTCTCGCCGGAGGAAGCCACCACGCCCACAGAGAGGCGCGGCTTCGTTTCAATAGTCCATTGTTTTGAGGCAATACGGTTGATGATACAAATCCTGCATGACCCATAATAAGGAATATAAGATAATTCCCATAATTTCGGGTCCTTAAGGTAATGCAGGTTTTTTTTTATCAGCAGCCGTACCAATACTATAGTGCCCTGAGCAACACAAGCGTTTTAGTGTTTAGGGTTCAGACGGCCTGAGAGGCTTTAGGGTGTGGGGGCAAAAGTGTTTTGGACATATTTTAGGAAGTTTTGAAAATTCTATGGTTCGCAGTTGGTAAGATGGGGTTCAAACGGTTTGTGTGGTGTGCTGCAGGGATTTTTTGTGTAGTGACCACAAGGAGTCGGTTCATGGGGGTTTTAGAATTTAGGGTTTAGGGTTTCAGAAAAGTACATTGCGGAGGCCTTCTCTTCGTGGGTTCAATCAAAGTAGGCGTTCCGAGTGTAACCTGTATGATCAAATACGACTGCGACTTTCAATCCAGCACTAACTGTAAACTGGCATTAATGCAAAAGTCAAGCATCAAAGACGGTGACGTGCTCACAGGCTTTCTTGAGAAGCTCAACGATAGGAAACTCAATGCTTTGCCCAAAGTCTTTGACCCAAAGAATCGCAAGGCATATGTCGAGGACAGAGTCCTGAGTCCGCCTTCGTGCTCATTGAAGAGCCTAAACCCTGAACCCTAACATCATCCACATGAAGCATGAGATGGTTGACATGTGGCTTCATGTTTTGGCTTCCGAGAATTTCAATGGCATTCATCACCGTTGTAGCCATTCTCTTAGGATTTTGGAGGTATGTGTTATCTATAATAAAGGGACGAGAATGGGATGTTGCTATTGGCACTTGCTATCTCCCTGACCTATCTATCTCTAAATAGGTACTACATATTATATAGATAAACACATGACCGTCAGCCTTTCCAGGACACCCACGAAGCATCCTTTGAATGATGTCGTAAAACCGAGTTTGGAGCGCTTCAAGTTTTCAGAGGCAGGGTTGTGGGGTTATATTTGGTGTGTTGAGCTTCAATAGAGGTTCGTCGTGGGTCTTGCAAGCCTAAATCCAAAAGGGGGGCATCGAGAGAAACTTAGGTGTTCCGTTGATTGCAACCTGTGGTTTGCTCTTGCTGTTACTGTCAGGGAGTAAAGCACCTCCTTTTCCTTCGTCTTTGCAGTGCCCGTTACTGTCTTTCCGTCGGTCGAGGCCGACTGATACCCCACAGCCCCATAAACCATAAACCCTAAACCCCTAAACCCTAAACTCTAAACCGAACTCCAACAACAGGAGACCTTTGTGCGGCCAGCGGTGTCTTGCATAGAAGTCGGCGCACTAACCAAACCCCATTGTCGAGTCTCAGGATCCTGCACGTTGATGATATAAATCCTAGGGTTCCTTTACAGGGATCTATAAGGGTACCTAGGGGCTCCTATAAGGGATCTATAGGGGGGGGTTTAGGGTTTAGGGTTGATGATATAAATCCTGCATTGCCCATGATAAGGAATATACCATGATTCCCGTAGTTTCGGGTCCTTTAAGGTACTGCCTGATTTATATCATCAACCGTATGAGGTCTGAATAAGACATGCTTTCTTCTAGCTCAAACGCAACATTAGATAACTATAGTACCGTCTACCCGGAAAGCTCATTCTATTTAGCTCCAAGGTCCGTTTGTCCAGGTTACCCAAGTCTGATAGGGGCCCTTAGAGGGGTAGGGTGCATATTTCCCTAAATAGGCTCCTTTCAAGTCCTCCTTAGGGCTATGAAGGCCACCTAGCCCCTTCCCCCTCCTTACCCCCTTCAGGGTCCTCATGACAAGTCCTTCTGCCAGTGTTGGAGAAGCTACCACAAAGATTGCCGGCATCATTGCCGAAGCAGAGGCTCGCAAAAGAGGGTTTAGGGCTTGGGGTTTAGGGTTGAGGGGAATGCCTTGGCACGTAAGGGACCTTTCCAACTCTACCTTCTTGAAGTGTTACCCAGGTCCCTGATACATAAAAACTTGGTTGCAGGACAACAGTAATGGGGCACGCAGGAGAATCGCCATCTCTGTGTCTGTCTCTCCCTCCTTCTCCAGTCCGTCTTTACGTGCATATGTGCATATATACTTGCTTTCTTCAAGACATTCTCACATGCATGCATGCTTGCCCAGAAGTTACATTCAGTCGCCATGCACTGTATCGTAGTGCACTCAGCCAGTTCTTCTTTTCTGGAGAAAGGTCTTTGGTTACTATGTCTGTGTTGGTTCCTGGTGTGGGTCAATTCTTCGGGAAGTACATGATAGTTAGGTGCTTGGACCTATATGGGGACGGGTTGAGGGTTTAGGTAGAGTAGGGTTCAGGACGTGCGGGCTTACAGGGAACTCCAGAAAGTTGGAATATGGTTTCATGGCAGGATACCCTATAGTTTACCATAGAAGGGTTAGGATAATCATATTCCAACTTTCTGGCTTTTACCTTATAGTGTCTGCTGCATGTGGTCTCGCGGGGTTCGATTGTCTGACAGGCGAACATCATGAGATGCATGACGTCCGGAGGCCCGCCGGTGCAAGGGCGTGGATTCCCGTAACGAACCCCGTAAACCATTCTGCAGCATATAGGGACGGGTTGAGATGAGCACGACAAGGCAAGTCTTCCAAGTAGGGTTCGGTGCAGCAGCATCACATATAATGTTACGTTGCCGTGAACGCCGACCGACGGTTTATGATACAAATCCTGCATGACCCATTATAGGGAATATACAATAATTCCCATAGTTTCGGGTCCTTAAGGTAATGCAGGATTTTATCATCAACAGTCCCAAACCGCCAACTCCGACACTTCTGGACTCCGAAGACTGAACAGACCCTAAACCCCCAAAACATTGGACCCTAAATCCTAAATCCTTCTAAGAGGGGTTTAGAGTTCAGAGTTTAAAGGACTTAGTTTTTTTTGAGGGTCCGTCAAAAAAACCCTAAATCCTTTAAACCCCTTTGCCCTTTGAAGCTAGCGCCTCATACCTCCTAAAGGGAACTCCAGAAAGTTGGAATATGGATTATTGGTAGGATCCCCTATAAATTACCATAGAAGGGTTAGGATAATGATATTCCAACTTTCTGGCTTCTACTGTAGACTTGTAACCCCCAAACATGTTGAATTGAAATCCTGAAACTACGGACCGAGACCTTGAAACCCCTCAAGTCCGCATCCGTATGTCACGTCAAAGCTGCAAAGGTCCAAAGAGGAATCATGCAGTAAGCTAGCTGGCCCAAAACCTGAGCTCCTAGACACCGAAACCCGCCCTAAACCCTAATCCCTAGACCCTAAACTCTAAACCCTAAACCCTAAACTCTTAACCCAAAACCCTCAACCCTAAACTCAAAGCCCCAAACCCTCAACCCTAAACTCAAAGCCCGTGCGTAGAATACACTGGAGGTGACCACTTCCTGATGCATGCTGATGTCGTTGACGACTTTCTCCTGCCTGAGATGCGCCAAACAGGGGGCATGCCGCTATGGCTACATGACGAAAGTAGATGGCGGGCAGGATGGCTAGCTGCAGGCGGTGCCCTGCAGTCATTCAACAGGCTCTTGCAACCTGTCGCTTGTAACAGCGATGGCATGCGAAGCTGCTGCAAGTTGAAGAAGAAACTTGCGCAATGGATTGGAAATGCAGCCACATGGGTGCAAACTTTCATAGCGACGACTGTTCTACAAGGCTGGGTCGTGAGACCGTGGAACGCACCAATGCGTACTTACCAATGTGCTCATGCTGGCGGGGCCATGGGACCTGAAGACCCGTGGTTGCGCAAGCTAGCAGCTTCCTGTGCGCGCGGTGCTGCTCCGTGTGCACTGGCGAACCGCTGCTTTCGATTTCTGAAACCTGCCTCGCCTTCTCCTCTGCCTTGCCTTGTCAAAGATGGTGCCATCTTGACTGGTGGGGTGGTGCACACTGAATGGTGCAAGGCTTTTCTGGGACAAAGTGAATGGCCGTATCCGTGGGATGCTAGCTACGATGCCCATGTCAAAGCATCGTGTCAAGTAGAGAACCCGCGTGCATGGGCTAATCGAGGACGCGGGGGGTACGATGCACCCGTGCTACAAATTGAAGTATCTGCTGTTATGGACAAGTGGAATAAGTCTCTGGCCACGACACCAGATCTAATTCCAAGAACGGCGTTCCTCCTACGCAACAGGGAGTGGGATGCCTGCTGTTTTCTGCTGCTCAGGTTGCTAGGACCAGGGTGTTTAGCCATCAAACCTGACCTCTGGCGACGGACGCTTGTTGTTCCTAAGCACAAGCAGGGCCTTGTCATTTCACCTGACAACTGGCGATTTCTGGAAGTCCGCTCGCAAATGGGGTTGTTACAGGAAGCTGTTCTCATCAATCGAATCAAGCCATGTCTTCTGCGTGGCATCGAACCAGGGCAGTCAGGCTACGTGCGAGATGTCTCCGACGCCCAGCTAGTTCTACATGAACTCACTGCTGCGCGGCGGGCCTCTGGACTTCCCATCCTTACCATCATGGGTGACCTGGCGCGTGCCTTTCCAAGAACATGGCGAGATGACTTCCTTACTCAAATTTGTCTTCAAGCAGGCCTAGATGGAGGCGGTCGTGGCCTACTTACTGATATGTTTTTTTGGGATGCGCCCGTGCTTAATCTGCATGGCCTCTCCGCGCTGGTCAAATTTGAAGGCGTTCCAGAAGGTGGGGTCTTAGGGCCTGCAGGCTTTACCACGTGGCTCAACTCCCTCACCGTGCTTCTAAAAGACAGAGGACATGGCCTTGGCATTGGTTGTACTGTACCTTCGGCCTGGCAACATGTCACTTGGCATTGGCAAGGGGTGCCAGACGAAGCCGTGGTGCTACACCTGCTGGAAGCACTTCAGGGTCGTGCTCCATTGCCAAGCCCGGACAGCATCTGCAAAGACGAGACCCTTATGGCCTCATGTCTTCGTGCAATGGATCGCATGGCTGTGTCGCGTATCAACCTGGTATTGCATGCAGATGACCCAGTTATTGTCTGCTCCAGCCGAGGAGCCGCCATGGCAGTGCTTGATGATGTTGCAAGGTGGGCCTTTGCTCACAAAGCTACCTTCCATGTGGAACCTGCAAAGACTGTTGTGCTCCTACCTGAAGGTGAGATGGATCCGCGTCTTGTGCTTCCGCTCATCGGTGCTGCTCCTTGCCCCATACATACCAAGACCCGGCACAAGGGGTTGGGGCTTGTGTGGCCTGCAAACCTTGACTTTGCTTCTGCGCTAGAGTCGGGTATACAAAGAGGAAACCTGCTGGTTTCTGACATTGTTAGTCTGCTGGACAATGGCGGCCTGCCGCTCTGCTTTGCACTCGCTCTTTTTGATGCAAAGGTAGAGGGTAGCCTGCGGTTTGGACGGTGGCTACTGGCGACTGCTCCTGGGGCCTTGGATAAGTATGACGCTGCCTATAACCGTTGGGCGTGTGCTCTCCTGCACAGTCCGCCATGGCGCTCTGCTGCCATTGCACACATGGAACTCGGATGGGGGCTATGTGGTCGTCATCGCGCACTTCTAGACATTGCTGGTCGGAGGGCTAGGCTGTGGACGCTGCCTCAAGGACGCAGGAGCCTGACATTGTTGGAAGAGCACGACATCCCTGACTACCCGGATGCAGAGGGCTGCGGTTCTGTCAAATCGTACCTCGTCCTTGTTCGCTCCCTGCTGTCGTCTGCGGCTTCTGCTGTGCTCTGGTCGTCTTGCTCTGGCCATCTGGTTCCTTTCCCCTTCTCTCTGCTGTCCTCCGGTCCCTCTCCTCTTCCTGCTGCTCTCCTCTCTGTCTCGCTGCCTTGGGAAGCACTTCTGGGGCATCGGGCCCTGTGTCGGCTGAGAGCTGGCACGCTTGACTTGGCTCATGTAAATGGCTGTAAGTCGCAGGCCAAAGTTCGCTGCTGCATTTTCTGCAACAAGAAGACATGGGCTCCCTACATTCATGTGCTGGGCGAATGCCGCATCAGCCATCACCCGCATCTGCGTGATGCCTGTGAGCTCCTATGTCCAAGGGAGCGGGCTTTAGGGCTGCTCAACGCCCAGCCTCATGAGATGCTCTTTGCTCCGGCTGCGTGTGTTGCGCTGACCATTGAACGAGGGAGCAAGCAGTTCTGGGAGCAAGCTGGCTGAATAAATATTCATGGGTGTCGGGGCTCCGCACCTTCGGGCTGACGTGATGCCCTCTCACGCCCGCTGAAGATGTCTGGAGCAGGGACCCGTCCCTCTGAGTATCATTGTCCTCGCCCTCCGCTCTCCGCTGCTCCAGCATGGGTGAGTGTGCTTGGGTCACGGTTTCCGTGTCCCGGCCTACTCTCCCTGTCTGTGCCGCGTGTGCTGTGGGACTTGGGACAGGAGGCTTCCCTGCCTCGCTTGCCCGGCCCGCTCTGCTGACCGGCCCGCATCCATCCATCCATCCTAAACTCTAAACTCTAAACTCTAAACCCTAAACTTTAAACCCTAAACCCTTCAGCCCGAAGTCCGAAACCTCTGCAGAAAGCTTCGCCGAAGCCTTTCCAAGCAAAGGTCAAGCTCTAAAGGGAACTCCAGAAAGTTGGAATATGGTTTCAGGGTAGGATACCTTATAATTTACCATAGAAGGGTTTAGGATACTCATATTCCAACTTTCTGGCTTTTACTTTAAACGGAGAATTAGGGGTACCTTTAAAGGGATCCTTTCAGGGTTCCTTAAAGGGATCTATATGAGTTCTATAAAGGGTTTAGGGTTTAGGGTTTCCGAAAATCAGGGGTACCTTATTTTGGGGTCCTTGTAAGAGCGATCCTACTATTTAGGGTACGATATTAGGGTCCCCTAAAGCCAAAAAGAAACCCTAAAGCCTCAACACAAAAGCAAAGAAAGGTCTACTAGGTTGGATTTTGGGACATTTTTATTTTTGTTATTTGTGTGTATATAAGGGGCCCTATATATTAATGCTTTCCAGGGTGTTTACAGGCCAACCCAGGCTAAGCTGAAAACCTTTTGGAGGCAACTGGTCCTCGGAGGCATCGGAGTTGGGGCAGTTGGCTTCAGGCCGCCGGAGGGTTTAGGTGGTAGGTTTAGAGTTTTCAGGTCTAGGGTTTAAGGTCTAGGGTTTAAGGTTAGAGAGCAGGTTGCTGTGGGGCCTGGGTTTTTGCAGACCCACCTTTTGTATCATATTTACATTCTAACAACTTCAAGCACTTAAAGGGTACAGCCTCCTCTTCTGTAAGGTTAAGGGCGTAGGGTTTGGGGTTTAGGGTTTGGGGTTTAAGGTTGAGGGTTTGGGGTTCAGGGTTTCAAGTCTCAGGATTTAGGAATCGGAAATGGCATAGGGCATAGGGGTACGGTTGATGATATGAATCCTGCCTTACCCATAATCAGAAATATACCATAATTCCCATAGTTTAGGGTCCTTAAGGTAATGCAGGATTTATATCATGAACCGGAATCAACGACGTTTAACACGTGAGTTTTAGGAGTTCGCCTAATTCCTAAAAACTCAAGCGTTAGACCTCGTTGGTTCTTCTAGCCTAAGGATAATATAGTAGAAGCTAGAAAGTTGGAACATGGATTTGGGAGGATTAGTGCTAGGATCCCTTATACTTTACTTTAAGGGCATGGGGATAATGATGTTCCAACTTTCTGGCTTCTACTGTAGTGTTTAGTTGATGTATGATGTTTGGTTAAAGGTCAAACATTCCGAAGTACCCTCCAGGCTCTAGGCTTCAGGAATGGGGGGAAGGAGGGTTTCGGCTGCTGGTCTTAACATAGGGGCCTAAATAATTACCAGTTTGGGGGGCTCCTTATGATGATTATAGTAGAATCGGCCCCAAAACCCTATTCTTATTATTAAGGCCCCGATATTACCAATTGCAGGAAGTCAGGTTGTTGCCCTCAAATAAATGGGGTGGGATGTCGGGTTCAAGAAATTGTCTGCCGGGGTTCACAGGATTTCATTCAAGCCTTAGGGTTTAGGATCCTAGGCCGTGAACCCCAAGCCGTTTTCAGCCAACGTGGGCCCTTCGGCTTTCATGGCGTATGGGCTCATTGGAAGTCCTCTATCCCAAAGGGCCGAAGATGGTCCAATGCATCATTATTGGCAACGTAGGAACCTGATTACGAAACCCTGGCCCTATAGCCCCCAATATATTAGGATTCATATAAGGAACCCAGATCAGGACCCAGGGTAGGCTCTTAGCAGATGTTTGGTCCCCAACAGTATATACTATACCGTTCCTTGGACCCTGAACGTGTGTCGCCACCCCAAACCCCTAAAACCCAAAGCCCAAACCCCTAACCCTAAGCACTAAACCCCAAGGCCCAAACCCTAAACCCCAAACCCCAAAAACCCCTTTGGGTGTAGAGCTCTCTGTGCTCTTCGGGGCGAGGCACTATCCACGAACTCCGGCTCAGCGGTTTGATTGCAGGCGCGGATTTGTTGATGCTTAGAGTCTTAGAGTTCAGGGTTTACAGGGGTTATATGGGGGTTCAGGGTTTACAGGGGTTAGGGGCTTTAGGGTTTACAGGAGTAAGGGGTTTTAGGTTTTAGAGTTTAGGGGTTTAAAGGGGTCGGGTTTAGGGGTTTCGGTTTCGGCGCATGTGAATCGTTTCGGAGCTGTATTTGCGGTATTCCTCGTCAAAATGGAACGTCGGGTAAACATGGAGGTTCCAAGCCCTAAGCGCTTAACCTCGACCCTCATTCTGTCTTCCGAGCCTGAAGCGAGCGCTGAATCATGGCACAAAGCTGGTGGATTCGGGTTGCATGTTCCTCGTCAAGGCTGCCACTGTTTGGGAGTTTGGGTGCGGTTGGGGCTTCTACGGTTGTTAGGAGTATGTTTGAAGGCATGCCCGTACTTGGAGTCTTGGAGGTTCCACGAACCCCGAGAAGAAACCACAAGCCCCAAACTTTCAGGATCGAAGCGGCCCTCACCATACTGGTTTTTCGCACTACCAGAGTCCCTGTCATGTTTTAGGATGGGATCTCCATAAGGTTCTAGTTGGATAACTACGGTAAATAAACCTTACGGTATCCGGAACTTGCTTAAGGCTCAAACTCTGGAGTCACTATAAAGCCCTCTTCTTTGAAGGTGATTGCATGAAGCTGAAGGAGAACGTGGAGGTCGGCGTTTTCGCAGTTTCCCCTCACCGCTTGTTGAGGGTTATGCACAGGGGGGAGTCCCAGTGCAGGTTTTAGCGCTGACGGGGTTTAGAGTCAAGTAGCTGTGGCGTGCCATTGATTCATACAGAGATCTTTAGAAGCACAGTGTGTGTCATGGATTAGAGCAGTCAAAAGCCCAAAATAGTGAAAGCCCAAGCAGAGCACTGAGTTGAGGACTTCTGCGTATTTCTGTTTTACGAGGTTTTGAAAAGGGAAAGAACTCATGACTGTCTCTGTATATGAAAGCATTCCAAAATTGCAGGTTCTATTCGGCTAAAAAAAGTGATTAGGGTTTACAAAGGTTTCGGCCTACAGGGGGTTCTTGCAAAAGTTCGTTCTAATGGAGGGACCATTGGGGAAAACTCTTCTGCGTAACGAGACCGTCCAACAAGGGAACCTACCTGAAAGCTAGTCGGAGGCCGGCATGTCTAGCAACCGCTCTTATAGACCCTCAATATCTTGTACCGCGTATATTATAAGAAACACATGAAACCCTCCATACCAGTAGACAAAAACTCCTAAGCCCCAAGGCCAATTTACAACTACCTGGAAGTCTCCTTTGTCGGCTCCCCACAGGGGTTTGATAGCACCTGTGCCACATAGTAGGCTACTACCCCAACTAAAATATAAAAAAAACCCTGCTAAATAAAGGATGGCTGAAAATCTTCGGTAATAGTAGGCTACTACAGTAGAAGCCTAAAAGTTGGAAACCCAATAGCCTCCATCCTTGAGAGTCAGGAACAAGGAATCCCAGCACTAATTGTCCTTAATCCGGTTTCCAACTTTATGGGGCTTACTCTACCCCAATTAAATATTACCCCGCCCCCTGTTAACTTAAGGATGGCTGAAAAGCTTCGGTAGGCAGTTAGAGCTACAGGTACGGGGGTTTCCTAGGGTTTTGCCATGAGCTTTCAACGAAAAGTACGTCTACAGCAAACCCCTTAAAGTTGGAAACCGGATTATGGCCAAAAAGAGCTGAGATTCCCCATACGTTACTCTTAAGGATTGAGGCCATTGGGTTTCCAACTTGTGGACTTCTACTGTAATGCCTGAGAGCCTGCCACCGTTCACGCAAAAAACCTTCAACCACAAGCCCTAAACGACGAGATGCCTTGAACCTAAAGCCCGAACTTTCCAAACCTCGACAGCCCAAGTCCAAACTCTGTAATGTAAGAACCTGATTTAGAAGCCTTGAGTGTTTCGTAGACAAGTTTCGCAAAGCCAAAAAATGGTCGCTGATGGAGCGTTGGCATCGACGCAGTTGCACTTCTTGAAGCGATGCTTTTACTTGGATCCACAGCCAATGCCACATGGAAACTTCGGGAGCTTCTTGGTAACGACAGAAGCATCTCCTGGTGTAGGGCCCCAAAAAGCACATAAGCAAAAATTAGGATAGGGATCTCCCATATAAACCCCCTTATAAAGAAGTCCAAAAAGGTAGGGATATCCCTATCAAATGCTTATGCTTATGTGCTTTTTGGGTCCCCAATCTGGTGGCCAGAAAAGATGGCGGCAAGCCTGGAGTTCCAGCGCTAAGCCGGCAAGAAAGACCCAGACATCGCGCAGGAAGCATGTTATGAACGGATGCGTTCGCCCGTTGAGATCTGGGAGTTTCCGAAAATTGGGGGTACCTTATTTTGGGGTCCTTATGGATCCTACTGTTTAGAATACTACGGGTCCCCCATCTTCGGAAACTCCCATCTGTAGCCGGGAAGACTGGTGGCCGCCAGAACGCAGGCAATGGAGGCACGAAAGCCGACACCAAACGGAAAACAGCAATTTTGCTCAAACGTAAGCCTTCCTGCGATGAGGCGAAGAAGCTGGGCATTTCCTATGGCTTATGGAAGCGAGTGCTTCATGGAACTGATGCGTCGTGTTTATTGGGGTTCTCAATATAATATGGATCCTAATATACTGGGGTTATAGGGCCAGGGTTTGTTAATCAGGTTCCTACTTTAAGCCTAATCGGCTACGCTGCACCTCGAAAGCTCAGCAGGACTTGAAGAGCCGGATGATGAGCTTGGCGGACAGACCCTCAGTTTAGGGTTTAGGGTTTAGGGGTCCTGCGGAACGGGACTTCGCCTTGTGAAGTGCTTTCGGTTGCGTGCTGCTTCCAGGGTTTGTGGCTTCCAGGCTCTTGGAGCGTGTTCTGGTGCTTTCCTTTTGGGCTCGTTAGGGTTTAGGGTTTAGGGTTTAGGGTTTAGGGTTTAGGGTAGGGTGAAGGATGTAGCGTTCTGAGGTAGTTTCGTTCGCCTGTGGTGCGTTTCCTTCTGAGTTGTTCGAGAGTTAATTGTGCGGTGTCTAGGGTGGCTTAGTGAGACGATCATGGCTTTTGTCGTCCTCAAGCCTCCCCATGAATGCTGATGTTTCTCCGAGTGGGTTGAAGCAAGATAGAATACTACCGGATTCATGATTAAACCAAAACGAACCTTACCCCTGAGCCCACACTCGTCCAAATCCTCGATGGAGCGTTCTGCAACCCTTTGCTTGCTCTTCGGGCGCGTTGCAGGATTTGGTGGTGCGTTCCGGAGGGGGCTTCCAGCTTCAATCCCTCAGTTCGGCGTAGCCTTTGCTCCGGGCAGCCATAGTTTCTCGATGGTTGGATGACGATCGCAAATGATTTAAAGTCCGAAACCGCAAAACCTTCAGCTGCAGTGTGGTAGAGGGTCAGGGTTAAGGTAACAAGGCACCATGAACCCTTAGACGCAATTTCGCAACCCCAACCTCCACCTCATATTAGGTTCCGAACTACGGAAACATGGGAGCTTCGGGATGGTGGGCCCAATATTGGAGTTTCTTAAAGCTAGGGGTACCCTATTTGGGGGGGTCCTTAGAATAAGGATCCTACTACTCAGGGTACCATATCAGGGTCCCATATTTAGGGAAACTCCCACATGGACTCGCACCGGTAACAAGTATAAAGTATACGACGGCAACCTACTCTGCCTTCCGATGGGCCTTGCAGACCTTTTTCCTAAGACCAGTGCAGTTAAAGTCTGCTTTCGTGAATTGGCCGGTGAGAAAAAGCTTGGGCGATGGTCTGGTAAATCGTCTCCAAAACTCCAATCCAAGGGTAAAAGGAGGGACCCTTAGTAAGGACCCCTAGGTATATACCCTTAATATAGCTATTATATAGCCGCTAATATAGCCCATTGAGTAGTGCTCCCCCATTAAGGGTCCCTCCTTTTCCCCTGTGATCCAAAGCAACCCAAAGACTCCAATATATCCCTTAATTAAGGAATATACCTTAAATTATAGTCGGATCCCTAATATGATTTAAACCCTAAACCCTAAACCCTAAACCCTAAACCCTAGGGATATTGGAGTCTCTGGGAAGTCAGGATGAGAACCGCCGCCTCAAGGGTCAGCCGCTGACCCAGCCAACGGACCTCTTAGGGGTACTTAGAAATAATTTTTAATCTTTGGTTATTATAATCCCTAAGAAATAATTTGTAATCTTTGGTTATTATACTCCCTAAGAAACAGCTAAAATTGTAATTTTTGCTAGGAGTCTAAGTTCAGTATAGACCTTGGCTGTTCTGGAAGCCCTTACTGCTACAGCTGCTTCTTGTCCTACTAGTAGAACGGTTGATGATATAAATCCGGCATGACCCATAATGAGGAATATACCATAATTCCCGTAGTTTAGGGTCTTGAAGGTTTTGCAGGATTTATATCATCAACCGAAGGGACTACCAACTATGGGGGTTCCGGTATTTATCTTATTGGCCGTAAACTCAACTTTTCAGCTTTCGGGGCTCTTTGTCAGGTAGCCGATCCTGAAAGTTTCAACTTTTAGTTGCTTGGGTTTTGGGCCAGTAGTACTAGGACTAGTACGAGTGCGAGTACTGGTTCCAGCACCACTGCTTGTACGAGAGTGAGTACCGCGACAAGGACTGCTGCTGCTGGTACTACCACTACTACTGCTACTACTACTCTGGTGCTACTACCACCACCACCCTCAACCTGTTCTGAATCCCTATTGGGTTCTTAAGGTATTATTCCCGGCAAGCCCGAACCTCCCCCCCCCCCCCCCCCGCCTCAAAAAAGACACCATCAAAGCCGGACGCCTTCAGCCTTGAAGCCCTACACCCGATAGGCGCCAAGGGCATTGCCCTGAAGCCACCACGCCACGACATGCTAAACCGCGACCCCTTGAATGCTAAGCCCTAAATCCTAAACAAGCCCTGAGCCCTATATACCCTGAGCCGAAAACCCTACTGTGTAAATTACTCCCCAATCCGAAGCCCTAAACCCTGAATCCCTAAAGCCCTAAAAGGCCTAGATCCCAAGCCCCGAAGCCTTTTAAACTTCGTCCTTGAATCGTGCCGAAGGCTCGGACAACGACCGGCGGAGCCGGAGATTTCGAGGTCGCTGGTTTTGGTTTTTAGGGTTTAGGGTTTAGAGCTGGCATCTTTTCTGCGGGGTGCTTCGGGGGTTTCAGGGCTTTTTAGGGTTGTAGAGTTTAGGGCTGGGGGTTTCAGGGTGCTTTTGTGGTTGTTTAGGGCTTTTAGTGCTGTAAAGGTTTAGGGCTGAGGGTTTCGTTTTTTTTTTTTTTTTCAGGTTTCAGGGCTTCTTAGCGCTTTTGGGGGTTCGGGTTTAGAGTTTCAGTGTGTGTTGTCGGTTTTACAGCTTTGAGGGCTTTGTGGCTTAGGTTGAGGGTTTTAGGGTGTCTTTGCTTGGCGTTCGTCTGGTTGGCTCCTTAGACTTTAACTTTTTGGGTTTCTATATGAACTATAATAAGGAGGCTAAAAGTTTAACTTTTAAAAGGGCTTTAGGGTGTCTTTGGGTTTCAAGGCCTCTAGCGCATTGAGGGTTTCAGTTAGGACTTTGAGGGCTCTTGGGGTCTATGGCATAGTCTTTGGCTTTAGGGTCTTTTTGGTAGAGGCTTTAGAGCTTGTGGGGTTTAGATTTTTGGGGTTAGAGTTTCAGGAGTTCGGGGTTTAGAGTTTAGGGCATAAGGCTTTTTGGGTTTAATGCTTGCGATTTCGGGTCAACGGGCTTTTGGAGTTTAGCGTGTAGGGGAGGGGGGGGTTTGGGGCTGTTGATTTTTTCGGCTTTGCCCAAGAGCATATATTCAGGCTTGAGTATTTTTGAGGCAGCTGCACTGTCTCCCCGATCCCCCAAAGAAGAACATGCTCCTTCTCCCAGGGCCTCGACGCCGCCGTTCTCCGACGCGCAGGGCGCGCTGCTGGCCCAACAGCAGCTGATCGTGCAGCAGATGCAGCAGCAGCAACAGTCGCTTGGCCCCTGAGAAGGGTGGGACTCAGGGTTCGAGAATCGCCACGGCTGGTTATAGAATAGATTGCATCAGAATCAAACGTAGTCTCACATATTATAAAACATGACAGGATATCAAGTGACATTTTCTAATACATATGTATATTCACGCACTGTACTACACATGCATGCGTGCATGCCTGTATAGAATACATTAAAATCAAATGTAGTATGGATGTGTGCATGTTTAAATGCACGCATGTATGTGGGAGTTCCCGAAAACTAGGGGTACCATTTTGGGGGGTCCATATAATAAGGATCCTACTATTTAGGGTACTATATTAGGGTCCCCTGTTTTCGGAAACTCCCATGTATGTATCCTCAAACCCAACACTTGACGACGATCTGACGACCCAAGCGCAAGGCTGATGCACCAGCTCCTCACGAACCAACTGCAGCAGAGACGAGGTGGCGGCACCTCCCAAGAGTGTAACATAGGGCCGGTCCGGGCGCAAATGACGTAAAGCTTCAGGGTCTAGGTTCCTGAATTGGTGTCTTACGATGTATAGCATTGAGGGTTTTGGGGATCATATTGCATCTAGGGGCCTCTGCATTTCACATGTCGCATCCTCCTCCATGTTGGGTCCTCACGCACGCTGAAGTCTAAACCCAGCAGTACAAGCCCGATCGATGTAGAAGCTGCCCACACCCTGTAATAGTGACTATAAGGATTATAATAGGGCCCTATTATATTCCTATTATACCACTATAACTGGGTGGGGGCAGCTTCTAAGTTGTGGATTGTCTATTGAAGCAAACAACAGTGTCGGTCTTGAGAAGTATAACCTGATGTCCGGGCTTTGAGCTCATGGCACTACTCACGGAAGCTAAGAAAAGGCTGCAATATAGAAAGGGTTTAGGTTTTAGAGGTTTAGGGTTTTAGGGAGGTCTGAGCAATTACTGATAGGATTTCTTCGGGTTCCTTGGCATCAACACATACCGTACTGCATCCCCAAATGGCTGGTAGTTGGTTGACTATCTCGGGATCTATGTCAATCCTAAACTCGCCAGTTCAGGTAAACCGTAGCCGTTCCAAAAAAGTCTGGTGTCTCAAGCCCTAAACCTTAAGGCCCTAAAAACCTCAACCCTAAACCTTAAACCGTCACATTTCCGCGGGGCTCCTGTGAACGAAATATGTTGTATTTTTTCATATAAAAACCCAAGAGAACATTAGACAGACTGCTTTGATTATGGTTCTACAGTAGAAGCCAGAAAGTTGGAATATGATTATCCTAACCCCTTTAAGGTAAGTTATAAGGGATCCTACCATTAATCCATATTCCAACTTTCTGGAGTTCCCTTTAAGGGGGGGTATAGTGACGAGGATTCCTTTGAGGGCTCCTTCAGGCTCACAGCCGTCAGCGCCATCGGCTCCGAGTCTAAGCATTGAGCTTGGGCGCGGCCCCCACTCAGTAATCTAGGATGCCCAGTAGTACCCTTATTCCTTTTTTGTAGTCCTAGGTTCCTTATAAAGGTACCCAATACCAAAAAGAGAGGCCTTTTTATTCTTAGATTACTGGGTATCCTAATAGTTGAATATCATTCATAATATGGGCAGTTGTCAAAATTAGGGTCCCTTTTTGGGTACCCTAAATCATAGGTGCCGTATTATAGTAGGGACCCAAAAAGGAACCATAATTCTGACAACCGCCCATATAGATATATAAGGACCTTAATCGTCGCCCCATCAGAGACTCTTACTGTATGGGGGCCGTACCTAAGCATTGAACTGTCAAGGATGCTTAAAGTCCAGGGACTTGAGGCTTCAGGCATCAAGCTTCGAGTTGGGGGTGTGCATGGTTTAGAGATTTTCCCTAAACCCTAAACCCCTAATTAAACCATATCTCGATATAAACCACTAGCCAAAATCCAGCCAGAAACAGCCCTAAACCTTAAATCAAAGGGTAGAAGCAGGGACCCTTAATAAGGACCGCTAAGTATATACCCTTAATATATCTATTATATACCCATTATATAGCCCATTATAGGGTAGGGGTCCCCATTAAGGGTCCCTCCTTTTCCCCTTTTATTAAACCTTCTTTTTTCAGAATGCTGCAGGAGACTCCACGCCACCAGCGCCGGATCCATCCACCGTAGCTCCCTCGAAGGCCCAGGACATGCTTCAGGGTTTGGGGCTTGCTTGAGACTGTGTGGGGCTCTTGTGGTTAAGGGGGGTTTACGGTGGTTTAGGGTTTAGGGTTTAGGGTTTCTGGTGTTTAGGGTTTGGGGCTTGCTTGAGAATGTGGGGCTCTTATGGTTTAGGGTTTGGGGTTGGGGGTTTAGGAGTTTCGGGTTTATGGTATTATGGGTTTTCGGTTGAGGGGCTTGCTTCAGGTTTCCGGGTGTCGGGGTTTTTACCCTAACCCAGCATAGAAAACTTTCTTGCGTGCCATTACAGGATCCTAAATACGAGCTTTGACAACCAGTACCTCCCAAGTATCCTTGATGGAGCCCTCCCTGGTCCTTCGTGGGATGTAATCTACTATTTGCTTAAGAAACCCCCAAAAAATAAAAATAATAATCCCTATATTACCACCATAAGGAATATACTTTTTATTTTTTGGTAGTAATAGCTGAGAGTTCTAGGAAAGAATCCTGGTAATACAGGTACATTTAGCGTTTAGCAGCATGGGTTCAGATCTACGCCCAGTCTGGAGTAACCAGGTACCTTTAGAAAGGAAGCACACGCAGCATTCCAGTGTCATCCCCGTTGAACCAGGTTCGATATCAATTCTAGGAAAGGTCTGTGTAAACCTACCACGACCAGACCTAAACTCTGTCCTTTCTCGATCCGGGCCTCGACTTTTTTGCGGATTCTGGCGTGAGACTTTAGGCGAAGGTCGGCCCGTACCGTCAATCCCATAGCATTAACTAAAGAAGCCGAAGCCCAAATCTTTGAGAAATGCAGCTCCCTTGAACCATTAGGTTAGGTTCCGATCACCAAAGCTTAAACATAAATCCTGGGTCGTACACCTGAAGTCCTCCACCGTGAACCCTCACTGCAAAACCCGACACCCGTCAGCCCAAGCATCAAACCGTTAATCCGAAATCATGGGCACTGCCCGCATAGGTACGCAGAGAGCCCAATACCCCTTAATTAAGGAACATACCTTAAATTATAGTAGGATCCCTTTTATGATTTAAGGAATATTCCTTAATTAAGGGATATTGGAGTCTCTGTCTTGCCACCACGGAAGGAGCCGTCCTTCGCAGAGAGGACGCGCATCAGCAGGCTCCGGCTATATGGCTAAGGGCTTGTTGTACGAATTAAAGGGATGTCATGAGAGGTGGAGCTCTCCTAAAGCTCTTCCGAAGCTCTCCCAGCCTCTCCCGACTCCCGACCCTCGCCCCACACTTTCTCCAGGCTCTCGTTTGTCCCAGCATCTGTCCCGAGCTGCCGAACCGCTCCCGCAAGCCCACGCCACCCCACCCAGAACCACTCATTACCATCAGCACAGACATTTATGGAACTATGTCCCAAATGACCATCCTTACAATGGCTTTAGGTTCTATAGTGGTAGTATGAACCTCATACCCTAAACCCTACAATGAGTGGGCTTTAAGAACTGCTAACAAGCAACCAGCAAGCCATACCGACGCACCACCGAAAGTATACTTACCAGCTACTCCCCACCTTTATACCTTACATGGTCTTCCCGAAGCATATCCCCAAGAGGCTTGTACCATCTTACCAGTATAGAGTATAGAGCACCACATTTGGAAGTGAAAAGTTCCTTGATCGTTGAGGAATCTCGAGTCCCTTGCTAGAGAGTTTTTCGGTTTGGCTTCCTGCTTGCCCCAGCTTGTAGGATACAGGAGTTTGGCGGATCTCGGCGCAAGAGAATCGGCTGTAATAAAAACATGCATTTCCGTTGAAGCAAGAAGTACCCCAAGCCCTATAAAAGCCCAGTCTTGCAGAAAATCCTAAAATCAGAGGTATGTCGGTAAGGCTCCTTCCCACAAGACCTGCGAGGGGCCCGACAGAATCAGAACTCAGAAGATTAAGGTTAGACTGTTAAATCCCCCGAAGTCTCTAAGCCCTAAACCCCTCAACACTAAACCCTAAACCCTGAAGCCCCAGAGCCTTCCCGAGACTTGAAGCCCGCAAGGTACGTCGTGCCCGCGGCGACAGCCGGGCCAAGGGGAGCGCGGAGCCCCGGTGGCTTGCAGAGCGTGGGCTTCCCTTACCTTTAGTAGGGAATGGAAGAATGGTAGAAATAGTAGATATAATTGTACCCCATTCCTCCATTCCCTACTAACCACAGGTAAGTTCATAGGCCTTTCCTGAAGTCATGAAAGGTTTGCAAAAGAATAATGTAGGAACCTGATGAAGAAACCTGGGCCTATGATCCCAGAATAGTAGGATTCATATAAGGAACCCTACTAAAGGCCCAAGGTTTTTTACTCAGGTTCCTACATTAGCCTGATTCTGACACTTTGTTTGCAGGATCCCTTGACAAGAAAAAGAGAGTATTGGATTCCCAGGTAAGGATTAAGAACGTAAGGTGTGGGGCTGGAGTATGACGGTTCAAGGCTTTGTAGGATTTAGGATTATGGTTCAGGGTAAGTATTTGGGCTGTCTTGCGATTCGGTCGGTTTAAGGTTTAAGAGCTGGGATTTGTGGGTTTGGGCCTGGTCGATAGTTTCTTTTTGGAGTTTGCATGAGCTTTGGAGTTCCAGGTTTCAGGTTTAGGATTCGGAGGTCTCGGTCAGGTTGAGGGCTGGGTGTTAGTTTAGGTGGCGCCAGGTTCAGGGCTTTTGGGGCTTGCAGGGTTCAGGGCGTCACAAAATATTCCGGGACGCTACTAGGCCGTGCTTGCGTCTTGCCTTTGTCTACCAAACCTGTAGTCAAATAGTCCTTTGTTTGACGTTCGGTGCAAGCCCTGAGTCTCTAGCAGCAGCAGAAATGTCAAGGCCCAAAGCCTTCACACTTCAACCTACACCCGAAGCCGTCACCCCCAGAACTCAGAAGCCTGAACCCCCGTAATCCGACATGAAGCAACAAATGCCCCTTAAACCTGCAACTCGAAACTCGAAATCCCAACCCTACACATAAGCCGCCCTAAACCCCCTCCCTCTCCAAAACAAAGATCCTCAGCCCGAGCCAAAAGAAAAGCAAATCCCTAAACCCTAAACCCTGTACCTTTTACCCTTTCTCAAGAACGAAACCTAAAACCCGAACCAAAAACAACCCTAAACCCTAAACCCTAGACCCTAAACCCTAAACCCATCCCTAAACCCGAGCCGCTCAGGCCTCCATGGTCTTATCCCAACAGCCCTGGCAGGCCAGACCGGGGCTTAGCCGGGTCAATGTCTGCTCTTTTCAAAAGGAAACCTAGTATCGTGGCCTTAATAATTTGCCTACGCATCCTAATTTGGGGTTCCTTATTGTATTTGTAGTAAACTATAAACCACAAAAAGTAGGTGGACATATTGTCCCCACACCTGGAAAAGGCTATTGATGCTACATACTTTTGGGGTTGTGGGGTGGATCATGGCCGTTTTTTGAATTTAGGATGTGGGATATAGGGTGAAGGGTTTGCAGTAGCACTTAGGTAGACCATAAGATTCTTTGTGTGTGTGTGTAAATTGGGGGGTGGGGGGTGGCCGTCAAGCCATCGGCATCATATGTAAACCCGAAACCCCAAACCCCTAAAGCCCTTAAATCTAAACTCTATGTAAACCCCGAAGCCCCAGACCCTGCAGCCTCAGCTCTAAACCTTGGAAGCATCGCATCATCAACTAACCTTTGATATTGGAGGAGCTGAGGAGCCAGGGATGATGATAATCCCTTTTGAATAAGGAGCTAAAGAGCTAAAGGAACCCCAAAACCACTGGTTAGTCAAGCCCAGAATCTTACCAAGTTGAAGCTTCAGAGGATCCGTGCCCGAAAACCGACATCATTATTTGATTACCCATAGGGTCCATAGTAGTTCCTTGTTGGGATTACCTTATAGGATCCTAAATATGAATCCCCAAAAAGAACTACTATGGAGCCCATGGGTAGAACAGGATTTCGGAGTGTACCATAGAATAGTTCTCAACGACCTGCTGAAATCTGGCATTCTGGTGCAAGGCCCCGTTGCAAGTCCAAGAGAACTTCTTTGCGCGCCCTCCTGGTCCTAGCCTGTCGACGACGTGCACCACCCTTCCGCAGGTTGGGCTTAGGGTTGAGGTTGTATGTTTCGGAGCTGCAGGCGTTAAGGCGTACGCCGGAGCTCTAGAAGGGTGTTGCAGGATTTTGGCTCTGAGGTCAGGGTCTGGAGGTTGGTTCAGAGTCTAAGAGGATCAAGCCAGGATGCGTGGCTTTCACCCGAGTGGCTCAATCAGGGGTTTCGGGGCCGTGTTGATTTGAGACTTTGAGTTGTCGGACAGTAACTACCTCGAAAAGGACGTTTACTTTTGAAGAGTTCTTCATGTATCCAGAGCGCACGTGGCAGTTTTGGCCCTGTCCCTAATGATGCCACATGCTGTGTGGAAATTCACAGTGAGGGTTTCCACGGCGACATCGAAGGAGAAACCATCCTGTTAGCAGCTCCAGTCTATTCATCGCCGCCTGCGCCCAGTCCGGTGGCTTCTGTCCCTGCGCCCTTCTCCGATGTCCTCTCGAGCGCACCGGTGGAGACCATCGTCGCTTACGTGAACAATCTTCACAACGACCACTGCGCGGCTTTGGCACGCTCTGATGACAGGGTGCACCAACTGCAGGAAGAAGTTGCCGAGCTGAAGGGGGCCCTCAGAGTGCTGTCGGAATTGGCCATGGAGAACACAATAGTAATAATAATAATAGTAATAATAATAATCATAATAATAATAAAAATACTAATAATAATAAGAACAAGAATAATAATAATAATAATAATAGTAGTAGTAGTAATAATAATAATAAGAAGAAGAATAATAAGAATAATAAGAATAATAATAATAAGAATAATAAGAATAATAAGAATAATAAGAATAATAAGAATAATAAGAATAATAATAATAGTAGTAATAATAATAATAAGAAGAAGAATAATAATAATAAGAATAATAAGAATAATAAGAATAATAAGTAATAATAATAATAATAGTAATAATAATAATGGGAACTGTTCACGGCTCAATGAATGGGACAATTGGAGCGCACAAGCTGCCGCCCAAGCATCCAGCAGCCGCCGGGTGCGGATGGTAGCTTTGTTTTGAGCCAGAAGTCCTCGAAAGGTCAAGCCCCAAACTCCGAGCACGAGGATCCGAAGCACTAAACCCCAGCACCCGGGGCAGCAAAGGCCCTCAACCTAGAAACTTCATAAGCCCTACGACCCCAAATTATGCCTAAACCCAACCCTTAACTTCATGGTTACAAGAGCAAACCCTAAACCCCCAACCCTGAACTTCAGGGTTACCCGAAAAGAGCACTACGAACTGCCCGCGGCGCCTTGATCCGTAAGGCCCATAGCAAGCGATGCTGTCCTTAAGGTTCCATGGACCCAATGTAGTCTACATTTGGGCTCCATAGTAGTTCCTTGTTGGGATTACCTTATAGGATCCTAAATATGAATCCGAAACAGGAACAACTATGGAGGCAATGGGTAAGTAGCTGCAACATGGAACCCGTTAGAGGTTTAGGGTTTAGGGTGAAGCAGACAAAATCCTACGAGGTACATGAGCCTCAGGGCGTCTAATGCCATCCCTGCAGCCCCTTACCAAAAATCACTGTAGCGCCCAATGAGCCTTGTATAACACGGTAAGGCAGGCTTCCAACCACAACGACCACCATACCCTAAACCCCAAAAACCCTGAGCCCTAAGCACACCCTCCATGATTCCGAGACCCAAATTGCCGCCAAATGTAGGCGCCCTGCTCCCTTATACTATGGCTCATTATATTATATGACCGTTCCACCTTTGTACTTTCATTATAATAGCCACCACTATATGATAAAGGATCGTTATACTTAGTCTTTAAGGCCGTAAGGGAAGCCCTGAAGAGGTCGCGCCTCCGGTCCTTTCACCGAGGCCCCACGTGAAGACACACTTATGTTTGCGCTTTGTCAGGTTTAGGGGTTTAGGGTTTCGCCAGGGCTTCTAAACGGGATTTATACAACAGGGTTTGACAACGTTCGATAAGGGGTCGAAAAGGGGTTCTTTTTTCTAGTGGCCCAGGAAGGGCTCCATAAGGGTCAGAAACGGCCTCTGTGAGCACAAGTCACAAGTTCATCTAGGACCCTAGCTTGCCTTAAAGTTACAGTTTCAGGTTAAGGCCCGCAAAATTTTGTGGCTGTCAGGGTTTAGAAGGCGTTTTCGTAGAACCTCAAATGTCTCGGTTACCTTAGAGAGTCGGATTCTAACCATAAAACAGGTTATCCAACAAAAAGGTACTACGGCCAAGGATCTACGTAGGCGTGAAGGGTAATGGAGTTGAGGCTTTAGGGATCTACGAACCAAAGGTTCGGAGTGGTTGTGATTTAAGGTAGCAGGTTTGTTGGTGAGGGGGTTTACTAGGCTCTTTGAAGGGGTTTGCCTTCTGGTACCATAATGAGGAAAGCTCCTTCAAGGTTGATGGCATGCGGTATACCCCTATATCTCATGATTACCATGCTATGGGCTGCATTGAATTTGGTGGTCAAGGGTATTTGGGTTGTGTGGGCGAGACTTTCTCTAGACTAGAAGCTCAGTTACATTTACTGGTTTATTATACTTTTGCAGAGTGCAATTTGATTTTCAACCTCCTGTGTGACCTTGCCAGGGGTTTCGGGTTTAGGATTCAAGGTTGCCTGACGAAACCTTGAACCTAAACCCTCAACCGAAACCGTGCACGATCGCCAGGTTTATGCAAAACCACTGGTGTGGCCACATAGGTTCCAGGTTGGGGTGGAGGTTCAAAGTACATGGGTTTGGGGTTAACGGGTTAGGGGATCAGTGTTTAGGGGTTCAGGGTTTGGAGTTTAGGGTGTTCTACAAACCGTGCTTAGTCCGCGACAAGCCTGTAAATCACCAATGCCAAACTCGTGATGCACAGTACCCGTGAACATGGTCATGGCTCGAAACCCAGGGTCTAGGGTTTAGGGCAGAGCCCTAAACCTTCAGCCGAAAGCAAATACCGCTGAAGCACGGGTTTTGAGGCCCGCGGCTAAGCCCGTGTTTGATTGACATACCCAGGGCCTCAATCCAGCATCCTCATAGCTATAATGGTAACAACAATAGTCGCAATCATAAAAATTAGATCAACAGTAATACTAGTCACAGTTGCGATTATTGTATATACATGTAAACAAGGTTTGAAGCCAGACCCTGCTTCCTTGGTGGGGTTTGGGGTTCTGGCGGTCTACGTAGGAGCTGTCGGTGTCCGGCAAAAGGATTTACTTGGAGGGTCGGGGGACTTAGTAATTGGTTGTTTAGGGACTTATAAGTACCATAACCCCAATTAGGGTCCCTTTTAGGGTACTTATAAGCCTACTTATTACCTACTTACTAAGTCCCCCGACCCTCCAAGGAGGGCCTCAAGGGGCTGGTCTAGGCCTTCTGATGCTCGGGGATCCCAAAAGAAGGTGCGGAAGACTCTAAACCCTTATTGGGTGGTTTGTCACGATTATGGCCCCTTTTTTGGGTACCCTAAATATTAGGTGCCGTACCATAATACGGACCCAAAAGGGGACCCTAATTTTGACAACCACCCTTGCAGAGCCCTTCAGAGGAGCCCCTTAATTATAGTACCCTTATAATGAGTAACTCTTTAAAGGAGCCCTGAGGACACAGTGGGTTTACGGCTTACGGCCTTCTGGGCTTGGGTTTAGGGTTTAGGGCTTTGGGTTTAGGGTTTAGGGTTTAAGGTTTAGGGTTTATGGCTTTGGGTTTAGGGTTCGGTTTAGGGGGCTTCTGGCGCTTAGGGTTTATGGGGAACCAGTTTGAAACACTGAAGCAGGACTTAGGGGTTGGCTTTTCGAGGAGTCTAGAGATTGGCCGGAGCTCCCAGTAATCATGCCTCGCCCGGTAGTACACCCCCAAAAAAGTTGGAAACCGGATTAAGGACAAGTAGTGCCGGGAATCCCTATACATGACTCTTAAGGATTGAGGCTATCGGGTTTCCAACTTTTTGGGCTTCTACTTTAAGGCTCCATCTACCTCTAGGGTCTACACTGAGGCCTGCAAGTGCTTGCCTTAACCCCAAATAACTTACCTTTTTCAGGACGTACATAAAGAAATCATGTTAGGGAGCCCTAAAAAGGTAGGTTCCTTGGGTTCCAGGTATGCAGGAACCCCTTAGATCCCTATCTAAGCCTAGGCCCAAGAACCCAAACACCCCTGAACCCGACGACTGCGCGAACAGTGGCTTCGTGTCAATTTAGGGTTTAGGGTTTAGGGGTTTAGGGTTTAGGGTTTGGGGTTTAGGGTTTAGGGGTTTAGGGTTTAGGGTTTAGGGGTTCAGGGGTTTAGAGTTTAGGGTTTAGGGTCAATTTTTGAGAGGGCAGACCGCGCGTGGGCCGGAGGTCGTCTCGGACGAGTTTGCAGGTCACCCCGCGACAGAGCCCAGACCTCGGCTGAAGCTTCAGGGTTGAGGGTTTAGGGGTTTAGGGTCTTGAATAAAGGTGCCCTGGTAAACAGAATAATTCAGGATTTGGTAGAGTGTTGTGCTTAATGAGGTTTCGTAGGGTTAGATACGGCTCTTGCCGGCTTTTATAAGGAGAGGGGATAGAAGTAGATAGCTACTTTTTCGAAACATTCAGACCTGGGTATTGGTCGTAGCATTCAGGTCTGCTAAGGCATCAGAGTCGAGAAGACCCTTTCATCCCAAGCTCCACAGTCCTTTGCCCTCCACGCCCTTAATTCCAAGCCTCAGCGCCTGAACCCCTGTTCCGAAACGTGAGGACTTCTTGGCCGTTTACATGTCAGGGCTTGTTTGGAGTCCCCATGATTTCCCACTATCCCTAGATTATTGCATTGACGGTTTAGGTTTTGGAGCAACGAAGCTTCCTCGTTTCTTATTGCTGAGTCATTGCTCTTGCAGATTGAAAGCAGGACAATGTCCTATGTCCTCATTGTGACGGTTTTCGTTGATCCCTAAACCCTAGGCTTTTTCCCAGAAGAAGATTTCCCATTCTTAGGGTCAGGCCTTGTAAGGGGTTGACCTGGTCTGACAGTAATAGCGTGTTATTGCGTATTGTGTTATTGAAAGAGCAGCCGCTTGGCAGCACGATGTTGGCGAATCGAGTCTAGTAGAGGACAAAAAAATGCCCTGCTGCCCCACCCCACTGAAAAACAACTCCTAAACTAAGCAAATGAAGAAGCCGCCATAGTCAAGGTGCCTTCGCAGCTGCACCTAGGCGGGGAGCACGAGTAGAATCCAACTTGTTGGTTGCTTCTTTCGAGCCCGGGAGTTTCAGAGAAGGAAGGTTTACAGGGTTCAGGTCAGGGGTTTGAGAAAAGAACGGAACTACGGTTGATGATATATATCCTGCTCCTGCTGTCTGAGGATGGCCGTGTTGCAGTCTATAGGTGCACAGGGAATTTTCCGCACTCTTCTGCCGTTTCGCGGCTTTACAGGGGAGGGTGTCCCTGGAGCCTCAAAAGCGAGGTGGCGATGCAGGCCACAGGCCAGTTAGAGGCTGGAGAGATTCAGTCTCTTTGCAAAGGTCCAGATCCCAAAGGTGAAGCGGACCCTGCAGGCTGCTTCGCGCCGCGGGAGACGTCGATTCGGAGGGATGGAGGGCCTTCGTTGGCTTCTGGGTGCCCGATCTTTCAATGGGGGAGGGCGCATCGCCTAAAGAAGTCTTTCACTGGGCGCAGGATTTAACATTGCTTGCGTCTGGTTGTTATCCCTGCAGCACCGGCCCCACCTTTTTGTCCATTACCCATAATAATAAGGAATATGCCATAATTGCCCCCTAACCCCCCGCAATCCTGAACATGCCTGAGCCCGTACATTCGGAGACGTTCGTCTCCGGGAACCTCGCGCTCGAAGAGCAAAGAGTCCCTGCTTGGAGGGTCGGGGGACTTAGTAACTGGTTATTTTTAGGGACTTATAAGTACCATAACACCAATTAAGGTCCCGTTTAGGGTACTTATAAGTCTACTTACTACCTACTTACTAAGTCCCCCGACCCTCCAAGTGCCTACTTCATGCCCTGCTTTAGGTGTCGAGACCCTTACTGCACTTTATGCTTCACATAGGGTGGTTGTCAATATTAGGGTCCCTTTTTAGGTACCTAGGATACTACGGCGCCTAATATTTAGGCTGCCTAGAAAGATTCTTTTGACAACCACACACATAAATGGGAGTCTCCGAAAAGAGGGGACCCTAATATAGTACCCTAAATAGTAGGATCCTTATTATAAGGGCCCCAAGATAAGGTACCCCTAATTTTCGGAAACTCATAAATAGACGCAGGTTACCCTCAAGCCAATGGCCGAGGAACAGCCCATGATGAAGTCTTACGCCAACCCCCCCTAAGCCCTAAACCCTAAACCGACCAAAAGAACATGACGCCTTTAGCAGAAACCACCTACGCCTTAAGCTCCAAAGCTTCTGACCGTCCCATGCAAGCTCTTCTTGAGCCCTTATACTCGCATCCTACGGTTGATGATAGAAATCCTGCATTACCTTAAGGATCCTAAACTATGGGAATTATGGCATATTCCTTATTATGGATCAACCGTAGAGCCGTAGAGCCCTTGGACGCCGAAGTCGGAAACCATCCGAAACCTTCATCCCTGAACCTTAAAACCGAAGACCCTTAAACCCTAGAACCCTAAACCCTAAACCCTGAGCCCTGAACCCTAGAACCCTGAGCCCTAAACCGGAATCCTTAAACCCCTGAATCCCTAAACTCTACATGCTAAACCCTCAAACCCTAAGCCCTCAACCCAATCCAAACCCTCGAACCGTATGCCCCAAACCGAAAACCCTTAAACCCTACACCCTCAACCTTAAACCCCTCAAACTTCAACCCTAAACCCTAAACCCTAAAACGCTAAACCTAAATCCTAAGCCCTAAGCCGAAAACCAAGTTCCCCTGCCCAGTGTCCTGGCGACCTCGCGGGCGAGCTCGGTGCCCTCACTCCGGGGTCGCGGTGCAGGCGCCTGGGTTCTTGTTCAGGTATCTAGTCTAAGCTACCATAATAGGGAGCCATAGTAAGTAACATGGTTTGTGTATTATGGTGACCGGGTGCTTGTTAAGGCATCTAAATTAAGTTACCATAATCAAGAAGCCATACGGATCAAACCAGCCAGCAAAGAGCCGATATGACTCATGTACCATAGTGGAGTTTCCGAAAATTAGGGTACCTTTCAAGGGATCTATAAGGGTTCCTTTTAAAGGGCTCCTATAAGGGATCTATGGGGTTTAGGGTACCACATGGGTGGTTGTCAAATTATGGCGCCTTTTGGGTACTCTAAATATTAGGTGCCGTATTATAATAAGGACTCCAAAAGGGACCCTAATTTTGACAACTACTCATTTTACATAGGAGTCTCCGAGAAAATTCCGGGTACCTTATTTTGGGGTCCTTATGACGAGGATCCTACTATTTAGGGCACTATATTGGGGTCCCCTTTTTCCGGAAACTCGCATATAGGGTTTACCCTAAAGCCTGAACTTTAGATTAAGATCCTACGATATGAAGCCTTAAACCTTTCCCTAATCTAAACCTCATGTCGCAAGATATGAGGCCCCAGGCCATAAGCCATATGTCGTAAGACATGAAGCCCCGCACGTTTCCTAATCGCCATTCAGTACATTGACATACAGCTCTTGTTCAAGCTTGAACCTTGCCTTAACCCCAAGTAACCTACCTTTTTAGGGACTTATATAAAGAAATAATATGAGGGAACCCTAAAAAGGCAGGTTCCTTAGGGTCCAGGTGTACCTTACTCCTTATGTTTTAATCCCTCAACCTTTACCGGAGCTTAAGGATCCAACAGATCGGACCAAAAAGCTCCTGACCCTAGGGGTAACCGACATGTTCCTAGGGTCTTATGACATGGCTTAATGTAGAAGGCATGGTGATCGGAAAAGGAAGGACTAGGGTTTTGGTAATTCAAGATATGACCGAAAAGATACAAGTATGTAAAGCTTCCGACTACTTCCGCGCTTCGTCAAGGAGGAAGGGCTGCGGGGACGCAGCCGACGTTGTCGCCGTTCCAGGCCCTGGCAAAGCTCTGAAGGGTTTGGGGTTTAGGGTGTAGCTTCAGGGTTTAGGTTTGGGGTTTAGGGTTCAGGGTCAGGGTTTAGGGTTTAGGGTTTAGGGTTTGAGGTTTAGGGTTTAGCATCCAGGGCTTGTGTGTAGGGTTCAGGTTGAGGGCTTAAGGTTTAGGTATGGGTAGTCCTGGGGTGTTGTAGGGTGTTTGTAATCACCCCAGAGAGATTCCAAAACCCTGTACGCAGGCAACTATCCTATAATAGATAGTGCCTAATTATCAATGCCGTTTTGGGCGCAGTCTATGTCCATGTATTATAGTAATACTATACTCACCATGGTATAATGAATATTAAGGCCTTACAAAATACCCTAAACCCTAAACACTAAACCCTACACCCTAAGCCCTAAATCCTAAACCGTGAATCTTGCGAGACGCAAAAGGGTCGTGAAAAAAAAACCTATACTGTATGATAAGGATTTCAAGAGCCATCCTCAACGGGAAGTGGGCAGCAGGGGGACCTCCTGGTCTCTGGGAGGTTTGAACCCTAAGACGCTAGGAGTCTCAGGGTGTAGGATTCCGGGGGTTTAGGGGGTTTAGGGCTTTAGGGTTTCAGGGCTTTAGGGTTTAGGATTTATGGCTTTAGGATTTAGGGTTTTAGGGCTTAGGGTTTTAGGGTCAGTGTAGGGGTTCGGGTCCCAGGCCCCGAAATCGCAAGAGCCTGAAACCCAAAGCCTAAACCGCCTAAACCCTAGACCGTGCTCTGGCGCAGTGGAAGCAAACTGTTTCCCCCTCTGCCTTCCTTATCATCCCATCTTCGCCCTACCCTGTCCGCAAGCACTTTAAAGACGGACTTGAGCATTTCACTCTCGGCCAGTTTGCCCAGTAGCTTGCGTCGTGCTGGAGCCACGCAGACATGTCCCTGTTATCTTGCTTCGACGCTTTGTTGGGCGGCCACGAGGTATGTTCAGAAGACTCCCTTTCTCTCACCTTTGGTGAATAGGGAATGGAGGAATGGGGTACAAGCATAGCTACTATTACTACCATTCTTCCACTCCCTACTAACCAAAGGTATGTTCTTGGACGCTGTTCGTCAACTTCTCATGAACTTCGATGTTAATAAAGCGGACTAAATTATTACCTATACTGTTTGGGGGGTTCCTGTTTATAATTATATGTACACTGGGACCGAAATCCCTGTTCCTATAATTATATGTATAATGGGACCCAAATCCCTGTTCTAATGATTAAGGCCCCTCTAGTACCTCCAAGCGTTTGTTTTTAATACCACAGGCAGTTGCGACTTAATCGCTAAGCGACCCGAGGGTGACATAGATAGGGCTTAGGTTGTGTCCCAAAGCTCAAAGCTCGAATTAGAAGGAATACACAGAGCGCAGGGATACTTCCATGTCCTATCCTGAAAAGACCGCCTGGGCGTCTATGAGTTGTAAGCCTAGGCGCTGAGACTTGTAAGACGTTTAATCTCCGTCTCTAGGTCCCGAGCGTTTCAGAGAGGCGTCTGATCAGAGTGGACAGTCTAAGTCCTAATGTGTTCGGTTTAGGGCTCCGTCGCGCTGCCATTACCAGATCCTCTGTGTGTGGGTCATCATTTGATATCTGAGCACTGAGCACTGTATACCTACATCCTGCACCCGAGGCGCCACACTGCCCTTGGAAGTCAAGCTCATCAAACTTAACCGTAACCGTATGGTGTCTAAGCAGATTGGGGGCCAGGGTTCATTTGGATGTGGGGGGCAACGTGTTCGATTCTACATTGTCACTGCATGGTGTAGTAAAACGACTTTTGTCCTACCGCCGCCATGCCATGAAAGCGAAAGCTTGCAAGCATGCCTTTGGTTACGTGTCGGTGCATACTTGGGACCGAGTCGAAGCCGTTTCCACCACATCGGCCTTCAGGAATGCCGGCCATCTAAATGCTTAGGGTTTAGGGCGTTTAGGGTTTACTTAGGGGTACTTAGAAATAATTTTGAACTTTTGGTTATTATAATCCCTAAGAAACAGCTAAACTTACAATTTTGGCCAGGGTTCTAAGTTCAGTATAGTTTAGGGGTCTCGGGGTCTCGGGGTCTAGCGGTCAGGGGTTTCAGGGTTCGGGGTTTAGGGCTTGGGAGCCTTTGCGGGGGTAGAGTGGAGTTTTCCGAGTTCCCCAGGCAGCTCTAAGATCAGATGGTCGTGTCAACAGATGGAAATTTTGAGCCTCCCGGTCAGACCGGAAGATATCTCCCAGACAGTGGCACTCTGAACTCTAAGCCCTACGAACCCTGAACCCTGAGCCCTTACTATGACTTTAACCTAGACCAGAAACCCCCAAAACCCAAAGCCCCTTAAAAACTTAGCCCGGAACCCTTAAACCCTAAGCCCCTATAAACCAAACCCGGAACGCTTAGTTAAACCCCTAGCCTTCAACCCCGCGCTCGACTTGCTTCCTATGTGCATAGGAGACCCCGAGGTTCAAGTTCTCTTGCCGCAGACATGGCGTCAAGGGAAGCCCGTTGCTCTGGGAGTCTTCAGAAATATTTACACTAGTTCTTTTTGGGGGAGGGGTTCCTTATCTTAAAACCCTCTTCTAAATTATTAGGGCTTCTGTGTTACCCTTGAGCCCTGAGCCCGGCCCTGTACCCAAAACCTGCCTTCTGATCAGGAGCCCCGACAACATTCAAAATGCAGGTTTCGGGGCTCCAGCTCCTAAACCCTAAATCCCAAGCCCTGACCACTCTTTCCGCCAGACGGAGCCCTTCTTGCACGTGCCGACGCTTCCGCCGGCGACGGTGCAGCTCCCAAGCCGTTGGGGGAGCGGAGCGGCGTTTTGGGATGATATAAATCCTGCGTTACCTGAAGGACCCTAAGCTATGGGAATTATGGTATATTCCTTATTACGGGTCATGCAGGATTTATATCATCAACCGTAGTAGTAATTCCGTCAGAAGGAAAATTATTACACCACAAGTCCGGAAGATAAAAATCCTCAAAGCCTGAATGACTATGTCCGTTTCCTGACGCTTCACGTTGCCCGAGACGCAGTAGCACCTTCAAAGTCCCACCCAACACTGAGGTCCCGGCAGTTTAGACCTTGCGGGTATAATTAGGGTTCAGGGTTTTGGGGATAAAGATGGCCTATTGCTTCCGGGGGTTCTATGATAGGGTCATAACTGACTATTTTGTAAGATTTTCCAGAACCTCCAGACCGCAAAAGCCCCTGAACCCCAAAACCACCCCGCCCTAAATCCGATGTTGGGCATCCAGAGGTACCAACCTTCGTGCAGCCCGTACCTGCCCGCACCTCAGAGTTCGGGAATTACAGCTCAGGGTCAGGGGCCGAAGCCCGAAACCCTAAACCCCCAAAAGGTCTAACATGTGTAAAAGAAGCCCTGAACCCTAAGCCCTGAACCCTACTTGGAGGTTCATGTGTAGTTATAGGTGGGGGTATAATTAGGGTAACTATGGTTATAACCCCTATTAGGGGACTTATAACCTCGTTTATGACCTAAACCCCTTAACCCTAAAGCCTGGATGGGCTTGTGGTTATTTGGGTTGAGCAGGTGGTGGATTTAAGATAGAGGATCTCGGGCTCAGATTTCGCACTTTGGTCCTTAACTCGGGGCTTTGTACACACAGGGTTTAGGGTTTAGGGCTTTGGGTTTAGGGTTTAAGTTTAGGGTTCACGGCACTTTCTTGCAGTTACTGTTCGCCTCGGAGTTTTGGCAACTCTGGAAAACAGTGACCGCATTGTCCAAGGAGGGGATCAACTGCTGCGACTGATCCTTCATTTGGGTTCGTCCATCATTTCTCAAGGGCAGCACCATGCGCATTCGATGATTCAGAGTTCCTGCTACAATAACTCCGCAACAACTTATCACGGCAAATATCATCATCGTTATCATTACCACGGTTCCTGATAATGGCATCAGTATTGTTGTCTTATCATAATCAAAGGGTGCGACTGTGGGCTTGGAAGGCATGAGCTTCGAAAATGGGATGAGGTTCGAAAATGCAATCGCAAGACTTGGTTTCAAACACTATGCACTTCGAGCACGCTACCCTGCGCTCTCGTTGTTTTGGATTTTGCAGTTTATACTTGTTGTGTTTGTTTTGTTTGACATGGCTTAGCGCCTAGGGGTATACTGCTATTCAGCCCCTGCACACATGCCAACCCTGAACCCAACCAGTCCTTCAATGCCACGCCCTAAATCCATCCTATATAGGTATACATGAAGCCCGTCGATTAGGAACAAGACTTGTCGATGGCAGTTGCGCAGATACCCAGTGCCTTAGGGACGAAACTGGTCGGTGGTAGCATCTGCGTTGTTTTTTTATGGAGCCAGAACTCTCAAGCCCTCGAAGCTCAAGCACCCTACTCCAACCCAGGTACAAGGACTCCAAGCCCTCGACCCAAACGCCAGAGACCCTAAACCCTAAATCCTTCGACCCACAGTTTTTGTGGGTAGACGTCCGAGTGCGAGGTCTCCTTCACACCACGTGCCGGCGGCCCGGATTCCCCGGCCATGGGAGACTGGAGGGCAAAGCTTAGCATGCTTCGTGCATGGTTGCTTCCTGCACGATATGCCGGGATAACCTGATATAGGGGCCTTAATTATTAAGGTTATAGTTACTTATACTATTTTGGGGGCTACTTATTAAATTATACTTATAGTACAAGTGGCCCCAATACCCTATTCTAATTACGTATTAAGGCCCCTATAGTAGCGGTCGGGCTTACTAGTACTACATGGGAGTTTCCGAAAATAGGGGATCCAAATATAGTACCCTAAATAATAGGATCCGTGTTATAAGGACCATAAATTAAGGTACCCCTACTTTCGGAAACTCTAAACCCTAAGCCCTTTATAGAACCCTTATAGATCCCCTTAAGGAACCCTTATAGATCCCTTTTTAGGTACCCCTAATTTTCGGAAACTCCCACATTTCGGCCGAGGGGTCGATACATACTGGGCTTGAATTATAGGATCCTTAAGGGAGGGTGGTTCAAGGGGGGAGGGTATAAGGAATCCTTAGAGGACTGTAAGGGAACCTTAGGGAAACCCTAGGGTTTAGGGTTGAGGGACAATTGAAGTCTTTCGATATGACTAGACAAGGGCTCCAGGGAGATATGGGTGGTTGTCAAAATTATGGTCCCTTTTTTGGGTACCCAAAATATTAGGTGCCGTATTATAATAAGGACCCAAAAAGGGACCCAAATTTTGACAACCACCCATATGGTTTTCGGATTTAGGTTTACGGGGTTTCGGGCGTTTGGCAGCCGCTGAGCGCTAAGAATGCCCTACCTATGTAAGGTTGCTGTCGTCCGTCCCAAGAATCTACAACCCGGTCCTCCAGCCGCAGCATACAAGGCAAAACCTTCGCCATGTAGAGCGATTTCCGCAAACAAAAAGAAAGCTCAAACTCCAACCACATTCGGCGCGACCGAGTCTATGCAGCCGGCTCGTTGCGCTTCCCTCGAGCGCATCGGCTATCAGGCCAAAGCGTTGGAATTGTCATCCAAGGAGGTCATAAGGTTCGTGTGTGATTCTTCAAGAAGTAGTAGTATTGATCAGATGTACTAGTATCAGGCCAGAACGCGAATGCATTCAGCACTGGAATTTATGAGCTGATTTTCCGTGGCACAGAGGAGATACCTAAGCCCTTTGCATTGTTCCAAGCTTGCACGAGATTGATAGAAGACTTCGCTTTACTGTGCCCAAGAAAGCCAGCATAGCCCTAAATCCCACAGCAAAGGTTCCTAGAGCCCTGCCGCACGCACGAACTCTCGCACCCGCGTGTAAACTTCACGGTACACCGGAGCACCCCCAACTGGTTTCGGTAACCTTGCGAGTACCCCTCGTAATGACCCTCAAGTTATTATTCGCAAGCCTAGTGGCAATCCTGATAATAATCGTTTTGAACAACTCTTTAACTGACCGCTTTTGCATTACGGACCGCTATTGCACCCTGGCCCCGCCTCTCAACACTGTTTCCAAATCCTATACAGCTTTTCCCTGATTTCTGAACTCTAAACCGTAAACCCCAAACCCGAAACCCGAAACGCAAACCCGAACTTTTCAGAACAAGGGTTTAGGGTTTAGGGGTTTAGGGGGTTAGGGTTTAGGGCCTTGTCGCCTCCTTTCTGCAGTCGTTGGCAAGCAACGGATCGGCCCAGGCCGGGGGGAACAACTCGGCTTTGCAAGCGTCGTTTCCAGAGATTTTGGGTTTAGGGCTTGTAGGGTTAGGGTTTAGGGCTGTGGTTTCGAGAGCTGTTGGTTTAGGGATGGAAGGGTTTACGGTGTACTGTTTAGGGAGGGTTCCCTATATTCACCTCCAGCTGTCCTAAATAGTAGGTTACTAACCATGTATCATGCAACCCGGTCTATGGGTAGTTGCCGAAATTATTGTCCCTTTTGTGGGTACCCTCAATATTAGGTGCCGTATTATAATAGGGACCCAAAAAGAGACCCCAATTTTGGCAACCACCCATATACAATTTTGTTAGGTAACAGAAGCCCTGTGTAGGGGTTTAGGGCCTTCGGGGTTTAGGGTATAAGAGGTAATTTAGGGTTTGGGGTTTAGAGATGCTGCGGGATTTTTGTAGAGGCAGCTAGATTTGAAGGACGATGTAGCTAAGATAAGGTCATGATCAGCTAATGATTTCCTCCTGCGTGATCACAAATAGCTCTGGCATTGCCTCGCAACCTTACAACCCCTACAATTCTTGTTTCGGCCTCTGCAGCTGTACAAGTTGCATGATGACACAGCCTTATAGAGGCCTCGAAACCATTTAAAAATCACGCTTTTGAAATTCTGTCCGCCTCAAGCCTCGGGTTTCAATGGACCCTGTGGGGGTTTAGGGTGAAGTAGCCTGGAATGGTTTAGGAATTAGAGTCTCGTCAGGGGCGCATAGGGTTTGGGTTTTCAAGGACCGGGGTTAAGGCTTCTTGTGGCTTCGTGGACACCTGACTCCTCGACCGCCCAATACGAACAATCCAGAGGTCCGGATCGTTGCTGATACATTCTCCCTATGTCATAGTCCATAATCCTGGCCCCTCAGCCCTAAACCCCAAACCCCTGAGTCCTACTGTGCATTATCTTAGGGGTACTTAGAAACAGTCTTTAATTTTTGGTTATTAGAATCCCTAAGAAACAGCTAAAATTATATATTTTTTGCTAGGGTTCTAAGTTCAGTCTAGTATTATAGATCCCATATACGCCCCCTTTATAAAGAACCCTTATAGATCCCATTAAAAGGAACCCTAGGGCACTCCAGCCTCGACCCGAAGCCCTTATATTGTGGCTGGTGGGCTTCGAAGCTTAGGGTTTAGGGTTTAGGGTTTAGGGTTTAGGGTTTGTGGTTTAGGGTTTAGGGTTGTAGGACTTAAAGGTCCGTGTATCGAATTGGTTCACAGAGGTGATCCACAGTTCAAGGTCTTAACCACTCAGCGCCAAGAAACCATGAGCACGCACTGCTAAGGATTGTTATTTTCGCACAGAACTGACCACTGCTCGGGACGGCTAAGTCATGCGATGCTGTACATCTTTACATTGCAACTGCTAGCCGACTGCTGGCCCTAGGTCAGTGTTCCGCAAGCTTGATCCTAAGCCACGGATAAAAAGCATCATTGACAACCCCTCAGCCACAGAAGAGAGCATGTTCTTTCACACTCCTCCTTGATGGTGCCTTGAAGGCGTCGCATCACCTGTTTTCCAGGCTCTCTTGAAGGATGAGGTTTCCATCTCCTCACCTATTATACAAGCTTCTTCCTCCATTCTCTACACAACAACGGCATAGACGAAGGAGTTGAGCTCGTCCGGTGTTCCGTAATCCCCAGCAATTGGCCTGCAAGTGAATCACATCAGCACCCGGTACATGATGGAAGGGGCCGGCAAAGGTTTCGACCCTCACTGGAGGCTCAGGGATCACCCTTTGGAATGCCGGGGTATAATCCTTTTGAACTCCTTGATCTCTGGTAAGTGGCCTGGGTGGTGCGGTAGAGGATGAAGCCGTACCCGTAGGAACATCTGGAGGTACTGTTGGTACAGGAGAGGTTCCCGCTGGCATCGTCGTCTCAAAAAGTTCTCGTAGTTCCAGTAGACGAAGACCCTGTTGATCTGTGAGATCATTCGGCTCGAGTGCCAAAAGTCTCTGCAGTTCCTTGAGTTCTGCTCTCGTCATTTTTCCGAAACTCGCCCTCGCTCGAAGTGCTCTGAGTCGTACATCTTTTCCTTTCCAACAACTCTTCAAACCCTCCCAGCAGAAGATGACGATCACGGCTATAACCAAAACCACCAAGTACAAATCCCATGGGACCTCAGCTTCTATTTGCTCTTTTTGGGCAATTGCACCGCAAAGTTGGCAGAGCATGAGCAGTTTGGTCAACCATGTTTTCTGTGTCCCTATGGCCTTCACATTCGCCGTGGTTTCATTTCTGCGGTCAACGACGTTCCACAACTTCATGAGCTGCTGCAACCTTTCCCGCGTGAAGGGCTTCGTTCCCAAGTCGGCCTTTTGGGTAAGACCTGGCTCGTAGACAATCGTCAGGTCCCCGTTATTCATCTTTTCCCGCACGTAGTTCGCGCGTAGTCGTAGATGACGTGTCCTCCAAGAGCCCGTTGATCCTTGAAGAAGTAGTAGGGCTGCTTGATTATCAATATGTAATTGTATCCCCAAACGTTTTCCTTCCAACTCCTGCAAAAGAGCCCTTGTTGCGTTCGCAAGTGTTGTTCCTTCGACACCCTCCAGAAGTTCGGATTCAGCTGTACTCAGGGTGACTAGCTGTTGTCGGCCTGATTTCCAGACCAGAGGATTCTTTCCAAGAAACACACATGCAGAACCATGACTTCTTCCGGAACTCGGTGCAAAGCTGGAATCTGTATAAACCCTGAGAACATCTTCCCCAGGTTCATTTGGAGAAAACCTTATCCTGTAATGGATGGTCTCATTCAAGTAGCTCAACAGCCTTTTGCCCACCTGGTTCACAATCTCTGGGCACCTCGTCGTTCTCGCTGAAAGGAGTGCCGTCACATACTGAATGTCAGGTCTCGTTCTCCCTGACAACCAAAGACATTCCCCAACTCGACGTTGGGCTTCCTTCAGCTCCTGTTCGCGCCCAGTGAGGTCAACAGGTTGAGCATTGATGATTGCCTCCTCCTCTTCCGCGGACATCATCAGGGTCTCTTTCGGTCCCTGAGTCATAGCCCTTGAACCGTCGTGCCCATGTGCCCTTAGCAGCTCTCTCACAAAGCCTTCTTGTGCTAGTTCAATACCTCCATCCACCATATGCATTTCCATCCCCAGGAACTTTATGGGATGTCCTTCTTGTAGAACGTCCAAACCATCGCATTCCCATCGCGCTGCAACCCAACTGTAGAACGCGTCCATTGCGGCCGGCAAGGCATTCACCAGCAGGTCATCAATGTAGACCATCACATAACCTAGCGGTTCCGGGTCACCATTACTTCTCACGATCTTCCAGATTTGGTTGTCCGTGACCATTTGCACCACCTTAAGCTCCTCTTCTTTTCCTTCGATGACGGCCTTGAACGTTGCCTTCTCCAGCTGCTCATCTCTGAATTGCGACCATAAGGCTGGACTCTGTCGCAAACCGTAGAGCGCCATTTCCACCAGCCAATAGTCCCCGGGTTCCGCCAATCCGAGCTCATAGGCGATAGCTGGTGGTTGTAAAGCAACCCTTTGGCCCTTCCATGGGGCTAAGACAAAAGCTTGTCTGATGTCTGTAGTTCCATATGCCCATGGACGTCCTATTGTGTATGAGAGCATAGTCCTCAACGAAGTAGCATCGATGCCGGTGGCATAGAGATCCATATCTTCCTGGCCGCCCGGGATGTAGTTTCCACATCCCACAAACCTTGTTTTGCGCCTGTAAAGATGCTGCTTGTCGGGCTTTGTAGTGAAAACTCCCTTACAGGGTATGATTTGACACCCAGGTGGTAGCTGATGTTTTTTCTGAACCGTGATGGCCTTTTTGTTGTCCCTGAGGTTCACAAACTCCTTTACTGCAGATTCTTTCCAGGCCTCAAGGTTCTTCTTCACATCCTGAAGGCTGACTGTGTGGGTGACGTCCAAAGGTTGCTGGCGTTTAACACAATCTTCAAGGATGTCCTCAATGCCCGTAGTGAACTGCACTTCTGCCTTCTTAATCATCCTTCGAGGAACGTAAGGAGGAGGCCTTGTTGGGGTGTCTGTCCCACCAATGCAGGGAGCTAAATCTTCATCACCCAACTCGATAAAGGCATGAAGCTCTTTTTCTTCCAACCGTAGAGCCCGAAGTTCAACACCGCTTTCTTCTTGAGGTTCTTCGCCAGGTTCATCTGCTCCATGGGGGTCCGGTTTCAATGACTCTGGGTCAATCACAAAACCATGATCCGTCAGGGTATCCACATCCTTCTGGGCTAACTTGGTAGCCCTTGGGGTGTACATCAACATCACAATCCTGTCCCCTTCCCATGGCTGGACTTGATGCCATACTCGAGGAGAAAACTTCACTATCTTCCCTGGTTCCATTTCCACAATCTTTCCCTCCACAACCTTCTCATTCGGTAGGACCCTGATCTCACGATTGTTTTCGTTGTTGTCGTCCTTATCGTCCATGATCCACAACTGTCCACCTTTGAAGGATGTTAGGGGAAGCACTGCGTTCCATGAGCCTTGGAAGTTATGAGAATCTCGATGAAGGCCCAGTTCACAGTTCCTGGCAATGCCCAGCGCAGAGAACTTCATATCCCCGGCGTACTTCTTAGCAAACTTTGTCAAGTACTTTGTAGTGTTGGGGTACTTCACGAGGTTCCTTCTCACGCCCGCTTTACCACCATGAACATAGGAGCCCGAGTACCAGGACGTAGCTGCGGTTTTCTTTCCAATCCTGAAATCAGTATCTCCCAGTTCTTCCAACTTGTAGTACAGACTCAACACGTCAGACAAATTGAAGCTTTCATCGCACAGGAACTTTTTAGCCATGAACTCAATCTCCTCGGCCAACTGCTCCTTGGTTTGGGGGCTTGGCTCCTCCTGGTCGAAGTTGCCGTCGTCAATGGTTCCAAATGGTAGTAGATCTCGTAGGTCTCTGTCTGGTTCCATGACATTGAACTTCACACTCTTAGCAACTGTCAAACCACCATCCTCCCTCATGATCAGATGACCCTTGCTCA